AACGAAGCAACGAACGAACGAAGCAACGAACGAACGAATAAACAAACGAACAAACGAACGAACAAGCAAACAAAACGAACGAAGAACGAACGACGAACGAACAAATAAATGAATGACAAACTTTCCTCTAGGTATTACCTTTATAAAAACTTGGGTAGGAATCATCTTCTGCGCATGCTCATCCCAATTAGTTTGAAAACGAGGCAAATTGAGATGCAGTTTGGGTAAAGTCACATGACCTGGCACTAATGGGTATAAATTATATGATAGCTTGTGATCGGATTCTGGAAGTAGTCTGAACTGAACCTAGAGTAAATGAAGGAAACGATAAAACCATTAGCTATTGGTCATGTAAATGTTAAACCTGTACTAGAAGAAGGAAGAGATACTCAGCGGGTCCGAAGAACGAACCTACGGCCATGACAATGAGAGACGATAATTATTCTCCTTCTACGATCTCCCTTTCCATCTCTCTTTTATTCTCCCTTTTACTCTCCCTTCTCTCTCTCTCCATCTCCCTCTTTTTTCCCCTGTCCCTGTCCCTATTCCTCTCCTTCTCCTCCTTCTCCTCTGCCTTTGTCTTCTCTTCCTCCTTCTTCTTTCCCTTCCTTTCCCTCTTTTTCCTTGGTGGCCAACTTCTTGAACAATGACTCCCAAATTTACCTGCTTTTGTCCGGAAAACATGAAGGATTCACTAGGTTCAATGGTCACTTCTACTTCTTGTACTTGTAATGTACGGTTATGGATCACATAAGACATTGGCATTAGTGTCTGAACACACCCATAAGACGGCAACTCTGAAGGAACAAAAAAAAAACACCTTTAAAAAACGACCACGCCCATTTCCTTTTGTCTTCAATAGGTCTTGGTCTCTTAGTAAAAAGCCGGGGGCTTTGGCCTAATCGACCCCACTATCTTGTAATTCTCAAAGAATTTTTAAGCAATTGAATAAGAAGAAGAATTCAAAAACGATTGTGGTATAAGTAGTTGTATCAAGATGTAATAAGGGGATGAAGAAATATCTCGAGATTTTCATCTTCTAGTTCGAGATGTTCGTCCATAAAGCCAGCTATCCAGCTAAAATTTGGTATATAGGGGTTATGAAATATCAATATATTACTAATAGATTAACAGTATTACCTGTGTTGATGAAAAATGGCACACTTTCGACTGTGACAGACGGGAAAGTTAGTTCAGTGATTACAGCAGGACAGTCAGATGGGGAAGACGCTCGGCGCCATTCAAGGACAAGGCTCCCGATGTTGACTACTTTGTGTGAGCTACTGCCTTCACGTGCGGCCAGACAGTAGCACTCTGATGCGCTCTCTCCTTGCTGTAAGGAAACTAAACAGAGTGGCGTGTAAATTAGTGTTGAATAAAAACTACTGGTGTATGAGCTACATTCAAATTCTGGGCTGATGTAAGTCAGGGCACGGCTAATTCACAGACCGAACAYTGAAACAACCTCTGGGCTGATCTAAGTCAGGACATGGCTAATTCACAGACCGAACATTGAAACAACCTCTGGGCTGATGTAAGTCAGGGCATGGCTAATTCACAGTTCGAACCCTGAAGCAGTCTCTACGTTTTACGGAGTGAGGGAAAATTGGAGAACCGGGGGGAAACCCCTAGCATGCAATGCCATATCCAGGAATCGATCCCGTGACCCCAGAAGTGAGAGGTGAATATACTACAGCTACCACACCCGTAATTTCCTTCCGTTTAAATTCAAACCGAAGAAATATCAATTGATTTACCTCCTTCTAACTGTGAATTCATTTTCTCACCAACAAAGTCCACTTCTGAAGACTGGAAGCAAAAAAAGAAAAGAAAAGAAAATTATTCACTCAGAATTAAGATTTTCTATGAAAATATTAAAGAGAAAAAGAGTCTGACGTATTAAAGGAGCTCACCAGATTCAATCTTGTTGTAACCATGGTAACAGGCCAAGGAGAAGAACACTTGATGCTCGCAAGTAATAAGAATGGTTCTTCTTCGCTGACTTGGTCAAGTCGTTCAAGCTGCGCAATAACAAACATCATTCTGAGAAATTTTCCTACTCCCTTACGTTAGGGTAGTAGCAGGGGTCGGGACGGTAGGGAAAGTCGTTCAGTGCACTTAGCTTACCCGTAAACTCGTAAGAGACAAGGAAATGTCAAAAGGCATCACAGTCTTTGCTGAGATTTTCTTCTCCTGAAATAAAAATACCCAACTTGATGTGATTTTTGTCCAGATCAGCACGTAGTAATGGTAACAATTAGAAAACACACAAAATACGCAGGCTTGCAAACAAACAAACAGAGAGACAGACAAACAAACAAAAAATGGACAAGCAAGCAAGCAAGCAAGCAATCTGTTAGATTGTTGAGCTATCAGATAATTTTTACCTTTACACAGACACATGTGATTGGAGTCGAATCGCTGGTAGCTGGTATCGTCACCGAGTAGGTTATCTAGAGGTTGGAAAAAAAAAAAAAAAAAAAGAGAAAGATCTGTCTTACAAAAAGGAAAATAAGATTCTTTAACAAAATTGGTATAAATAAATTTAAGAAACAAAGCGAAAAAGCTCTCATGCAAGGAAGAGAACCAAGAAGACCCAGAGGCAGTGAGAGAAGCCAAGATTAACCACTTCCCCACCCATCCTGCTACATTACCTTGGCTTGTAGTGAGCGACTTCCCACTTGGGCACACCTCACATAGTAAGTCTGCTCCATCTTCCAACAAAGGGAAAAGAAAATTAGTCGAAAGGATAAAATTTGATAAAACATTCAACAGATTGGTTAGTAGGAATAAAACCTTGCTGACCTCTTTTTCCATGCTCTCTCTGTTGAAGAAAACAAAGCTCTGGACTGGTGCTTCCTGCCCTGTTTTTGGTGGCTCGAGACAAACAGTACCTGATAGAAAATAATCATCACGACATTATCCAACTTTATAATTTATAGACAAGTGCTCATTTTAAGTGTTAGTGTAAATAAATTATGTATTTATAGCTACACTACATATAAAGGTGGGATAGCATATTTTTAAATAAAAGGTATGGGTTTGGCGTGTTACTAATAAAATATAAGTATGGGGGTGGCATGTTACTACATATAGGTATGGGGGTGACATATAACTACATATAGGTATGGGGGTGACATATAACTACATATAGGTATGGGGGTGGCATGTTACTACATAGAGGTATGGGGGTGACATCTAACTACATATAGGTATGGGGATTTACTTACTAGTATCTACTATGCTAGGATCATGCTCTTCTTGAAATCCAAACCAAATTCTTGAAATAGATAAAAAACAGAGAAACAAATATTGAATTAAACTTGTCACTAAAATAGTGGTTTTCCTGTGTCTTCCTGTGACCGAGGGGGGCTGAGAATGTTTTCCCTCGTATACCACAGGAAGCCGGAAAAGAAAAAGATAAAAAAGAGATGAATTGAAACCAGAATACAAAGCGTTCAAGTGCATGTACTACCTTATATCTTTCACGTCGGTATCTTCCAAGCTCTTGACCTTCAAGGTCACCTTGAAAAACTCATTAACCAGTGTCGGAGAGTCATGGAAGAGTTGTATTTCCATCTTAGGCTCTCTAGGATTGATTCTGTAATAATTAAAAATATAAAATCCAATCTTGAAACTAAATTGTTTTGGACATTACTCCTCTATTATCATGGAGAAATATGACTCAACTTCCTAGTTTATTTATGACTGGTCATAAATATGGGTAACAAGCAACATGGGGAAGTGGGAGGTGGAGAGGGGAGGGGAGTGGGAGGGGGAGAGGGGAGGGGGAGAGGGGAGGGGAACGTAAAATCATGTGACATTCCCTCCAAGGACACAAGCATAGATTTTGTTGACTCTTCCTTGATCTTCTGACATCTTCAGGCAGAGGGTAGAACTTGAACATGATGACTTTAGTCTTGGACAGCAAGAGATACAAAAGCATAGATTTTGTTGAATCTCCCTTGAACTATTGCTAAGATGATCATTTGCTCATTTTTCACATTTTTAAAAATTTTATGTTGTGATAGAGTGAGTAGCTGTCGAACCTTCCTAGACAGAGGCTAAAGATTAGGTATAGGACACACTCCACATTCACTGCACACAACTCTCAACTCACAAGCTTGTTTTTGCAGAGAGTCAGAGGAAAAGTACAGAACTGTAAAACAAACCTCAGCAAGTTGTTGAAAAATATTTCAAACAAACTCTATTCACATGTGATGTCCACAAGAACACTTGCTCCAAACTTAACCCCCCTGTTAAAATATGGCCATTGTCTCAGCAATGATCATAATACTTACAGTATATTTGAGGCAATCTGTAATGCTTCCCAGTCCAGTTGATCTTCTATATCAGGATGGCTATTCCCATGCTTTGCAAAGCAGTTGAGGGTTGTAGTTCCTTCAGTACCACCTCCATTCCATACCAACACAGCACATCGACCCTGTTGGGTTCCCAGTTCAAGGGCTATAGATGATACCTACAGGGAACACATGAAATATAAAATTGTAAGACAAAAATTATAAATAAAAACAGAATTATAATGAATACTCCAAACTACAAAACTGGACACAGAGCTTTTGAGTATGGCTTCATCATATGGAAAAATGACTCCTGTCTCTAAAACAAAAAGCAGTTCTATAAAGATTTTCCTTACTTTTTCTTCATGAACCCAGGATTTGTCACCCTAAATCCTGATTGCTTCAGGTAGAGGTTAAATCAGTGAGAACATTTATTCGCTTTATTTTAGTAGTTTTTTATCAGCAGTTGGACACGGAAATATGACACACAACTTAAAAATTCAATAATAAAATCTACTTTTATGTTACAGTAATTCATTGTTTTTCTGTCCTACAACCTAGCTGCTGTGAAGCCCCTGTTATACTTGAACAATAGTAATCGGGAAATACCAACCTGAAGCTGTTTGCGGACATCTTCAGGCTGAGGATAAAACTTGAAAGGGATGACTTTAGTCTTGGCTGGCAAGAGATATAACCCTCCTTCACTGTCTGTTCCTTGGCTGCTATCAATACAGCAGTATTGATTATATGCCTGACAAAATGCCCAAACAGAATAATATGTTGATGTAAATAATAAATGCAAATAATAGAAAATGTGCAGTAATCTTGTAATTGAATTTCCTGTAATTAACAACGTAAGTAAATGACTCAAGTGTTTTACCTGGTTACTGAAGAAAACAGAGAGCTTGGAAAAACGAATAGGAAAAGGACATGTAGCCCTGGAAAAAATGAAAATAGTTAACAACTATTATTAAAATAAATAAAACATAGAAGAGAGATAACTAGCTGAAATCTAGTGTGAGCTGCGTCTGTGTTTATAATGAAACAGTAAATATTTTACACCATGAAAAGATGAAAAAGAGCTGACAAAGGACTAGCGTCCAAAACGTTTTTTCATCTTTTCATGGTGTAAAATTTACCTTTTTATCATCACTGTTTTATTAGAAACACTGACACAGCAAATAAAAACATTCAATGGACATACCTTAAATGAATGTGGAGTATAATGGCACTATCAGCATGAATTGATGGGGAGTCAAATTTGGCTTTGCATTCCACTGTGAATTAAATACATGTAAAAGAGTTAATTCAAAATATGTCAGATTATTTTTTCTTGGGAAAATGCAACAAACTAATGCCCAGATGGACTGACAAGGGAACAGTTTCATGTGGGAAGAGAAAAAAGGAGTGGAAAGAGAGGATAATACATCGTACCAAATGCAGCAATCTGGTCCATCTGTACTGTGAAAACCTGTCCAGTTTGTTTTGCTAATGATTTCCATATTTCTTTAGCCTCTTCCACTGCTTCTACATCACAGCCTGGTTCTGGTTCTGGGCATTCATTCTTGATCATGAAATTAAAATCAGAAGTCAGATTGAATGAGACGTGTGGTAAATGAAAAATTATTGAAAAAATATTGGAAAAAAACCACACACTTTTTGCTAATACATATTGAATTTTCAATTCTCAGCCCCCAAGCACCACACTCTTAATCTTATGCCTCCCTCACCATTTTTAGGGTGCTAAAGCAGGAAAAAAGTACTTGACTAGATATCACATGTGAGCATTATTACCGATATGACATGGATTAGATTCATTTGGACTCTTGTCTTCTCTTCGGGTGAATTCAGCCCATCTGAATCAAGTCATGTTAAGGAAGTGCTAAAAAGTGCTGATCTAAGTCAGGGCATGGCTAACTCACACATCAAACCCTGAAACAACCTCTGGATTGATCTAACTTAGATCCAGATAAATACAATGAATTAGCATGCTAGGTGTTGTAGGGGTAGGAAAACTGGAGCTAGGATACATTTTCCCATCAGATCCATTGATATTGTCACATACTCTTGGACATTACCCACTAGATATGCACACCTGCAAAAAAAAATCATTATATTAAAGTTATCAATAATTATATAATAGATAATATAAAAATCAGAAAAGACAATGTCAAATTAAAAAAATAAAACAGCTTCAGATTTCTGTTGTTTGTTCAGTAATTCAGCATACAGGAAGTGACAAAAGAATGGGTGGATTCAGGGGGGTGCACGCGATCCAGGATTTTGCAGGGATTGCACCCTTTGCTTGCAAACTCAAACACCAATAATGCAGTAGATATCAGCTTATCAATTTCTGCATACCTTAATGAAGTTATGAGGACCGAGGTGAGGAGTGACCACCACCTTTCATGTCTATAATCCCACGTTACTCTACCTAGAAGCCTATAACAGCAAAAATATATCACTTTTATTGTATTATTATTGATAATGAATAAAAATTTGCATCATTATTTATTATTATAATTTATTATTATTATTAATTATTATCATTGATTATTATTAATTACATTGAGGACTAACAGATCCAGATCTTTGAGGGGAGGGTATATATTCCCTTGAACTAATAATCAAATTTAGAATTATTTAAGATATGATCTCATGGAGGGAATTGGGAGTGAGAGGGAGTAAGGTGTGTGACACCAGTCAATACTTACATAAGAGCTTTGCTATAGTCTCTTGCATGGTAGTATTCCTCTCCCATTTGAACCACTGAAAACAAGAGATAATGAAAAGGGATAAGAAAATGGTGCCCAAAAGTCAGGGCTTCCAGAATGTTTTGGTCTAGAGTAGGTGGTCATAAGTGAGAAGTAGCTGGCTGTGATCCGATACAAGGAACAGAAGGTATTTCATAGAAATAAAAAGTAGCCGGTGGTTAACTTTGAAGCAACCACCAGAGCTCCAGTGGCTGCCAGGTTATTGAAAGCCCTGAAAAGTACGACTGAACTTTAAGCACACAGTCACATTTCAATACGACAAGGCTGTAGCCACCAACTTGTACAGTTGGACTTGGTGGCCCAGTTTTTAAAAAAGGTAGTCCTGTTTTTCATTTACTTGTGTAATTAACAGTTTTTACAAGGGAAAATGGTTCTGAAGGTAAACAGTGGCACGGGTTAAAACCAGACGAATCGTACTGGTGGTAAGGCCCTGTACCATTTGCATCCAAGGTTGAAAAATACTGTACATGTATTTGTTTGCAAGTTTTGGTACTAGAGTTGAAAGTCACAAAATGCACAAATAAAGGATATTACATGGGCGCGTGGAGATACGAATTTTATCTTCGAGTGTTGAAAAGATCTCTCACGAGTGAGCGCAGCGAACGAGTGAGAGATTTTCAACACGAGAAGATAAAATTCGTATCTCCAAGCGGCCATGTAATATTCTGTTTATTATATAATTATCAATGAGCTATGTTTTGGCTTTTTCAGGCAATTCTTTCCGTGTAATTTTGAATAGCCATCACAATGGTGTTATCTTCACACGTGAAAATAACATGTTATTTTCACGTGTGAAGATATCAATTTTTCGAAATAGAGAAAAACAGATATTTCATTGGTAATTATATAATAATTAACAATATCTTATATTCCTTACTCAGATATCTCTTCATTCTTGGTGATTTATATTTCTTGAACTGTGCTACAGCACTGCTTAGAAGAGGAATGATGATCCACTGTTCGAGACAAGAAAAGAGGAAAAACAAAATTTTTAATTTACCAAAACAAGTACTCTCCCCTCACCAGCAACTGTACACAATCATATTCACTTACTGAATGATCAACACTCATTTCTTGAGCCTGAAGGGCAAGGATTCCATTGTGTTCTAAAGGTTGATCAAGAGGTTCAGCTCCTAGAAAATCAACAATGAATGTCACACTTGAGCCCTTCGTCTCCATATTAGTACACACACACTGAACAAAGCACAGACAGCACAACCAGGATTACACATACTGAAGTTGAATGAAGGACTTTTCTAACTTGTTTCCCATCAATTTTAGTGATGTAAAAATGATTCACTGAATTGTGCTTGCTCTCTTTAGAAACATAGAAAATTTAGCACATCCTACAGAAATACACACCATTATTGGTGTGATGAAAATCCTGCAAGAGTAACAAGTGGACCTCTCAAGACTTCAACAAAATGTTCTATGACTCTCGGAGAGATCAACTTGGAGCAGGTTTACACTAAAGTGTGTTATTGATAAACTGAAGATTCATACTCTAATCCAACCTAAATTGTCAATCATGGAATTGATGCGAATTAAGAACCACTTATTTCACTTGGAAATAAAAATCAGAATAAAGAATTGATAAATCCCTATAATGACACCTGCCTTGAAATCCTTGCCTCCAAGGTCTTTGTCCATAGAAATCCAATTTTCCAGCATTTGCTAGAGGCTCCAGTGATATCGGAGAGGATGGATGCTTTGAATATAGAATAATAATCATCAATGTCAATAGACGTCTAACTTTGACGTAATTTTTTCCTCCTTTAAGACTGGCCACATGCCATACCCTTGAGAATAAGATTCTTTGATTAAGATGTCGATCCATATTCATGTATCTTATCATGTGCAATAATTGAACAAAGAAATGATACTCTTGTTTAGGAATAAATTGGTCTGACATAGGAAAGCATGGTGCCCAAGGTAAAGAGGATTAAATGAAGTCTAACTAATGTATAGTTCCAAAAATTATCCATACCCCCCTCACAGAGGAATTTTTTAAAGACACCCCCCTAACCCCAGAAATTCCAATTTTCTTCTATACAAATTCTGTATTTTTGTTCTTTCTCTGACCCCCCTACTCTTCAGAAATTCCAAATTCCTCTGTGTGGTGGGTATGGATGATTTCTTTTACTATTTCTTGACCAATAAAATACTTACATGGCACAATCCTTCACAAAGTTGTCTTCGGACAATGGCATTATTTGCTGCTTGCTGATAATAGAATCCTGGATGCTGAGTCTGAAATAATGATCAGAATAAAAAATAATAATAATCAACTTTGCTTAAAGAGGATAGCATGTGACAGTATGGTCCTCTTTTAATGTCTCTAGTTGATTAGGGATGGGACCGCCACTGATTAACGTTGTCCTGGTCATCCGAGCCACATGAAGGTCTAACCATTTGGAGATGTAATTACAAAGGCAGCACCTTCTCCTCAGTTATTTTAAGACCCTGAGTGTTGGTCCGGCCGAGGCTTGAACCACAACCTTCCGCACAACAGACCGATGCTCTTACCAAATGAGCTAACCGGGTGGTGGCCAGAAATCAGAAATAATTGTGGCACTATTTCTAGACATGTAGCCATGGAGGAAATACATTTGAGCTTACATGATCCTCAAGAAGAATATATTTGATGTTATGGTTTGGTTTGGTGATGTGATACAAGATAACGGAATGTCTCATGGTATAATGTACATTTGGGGGGGAAGGGGGGAATGGTGTGGCGTGATGGCATACAATTTTATGGTGTAGTGTAGTGTGGTATGACAGTGTGCTGTGGTGTGGCGTGGCATGGCGTGGCTTGGCATGGCTTGGCTTGGATTGACTTCCGGCGCTAAACATGGCGGCCACGAATTTGTTGTCTCTTTTTTGGTTGTAGTTTTTTATCTCCTATCATTGTTTTTTCTTTCCTATTTATCAATGTGATAATAGCTATGTTTTTTTTGGCATGGCGTGGTGTGGTGTGATTTGACATGATGTCATGGTATAGTGTAGCATGGTGTAACTTCATCTTAGAACCATATCATTGTCCATATCCTGCTTACCTGGAGTGCTGTGAGTCCATTTCTTATTGCCTCATCAAATAAATCCCCAAATAAAGAAAACCTAAAAGACAATTAAACCCAGATTAGACATGCCATTAAGACTTTTAACCCCCCCCCCCCCTGTCTCCGCTGAAAATATGAAGATATGTAGATATACTTACTGCTTTGATAACCATGCAGAATGTTCAAAGGCTAACTCAGAGCAACCACGTTTTTCTTTCCACAGGTCAACATGCTTACGAAATTGAGATATGGCATCAAGAGGGGCACTGCCTTGAAAACTAAGCCGACAAATCTGAAACCAAACAAATCTGTCTGTCATTCTTTTGTCACTAGCTCATTAAAATGGTGAAGGTTGTCTACAAGATATCAGATTCCATACCTCCCCAGCGTCATCAACCCTCACGTCAACTACAGGGAATTCACTACAGGACCTTAATTTACATCAAGAATGTGCCCTCCTCTGTCCATTCCCCACCACCTTGAAAACTCAATCCATACTCAGTATTCTATTCAAGAGAATGCATACAATACAATAAAGCTTGTAAATGCTTCAATTAAGGAATATATTATAATTTAATTACTTTATAGCTGATGTATCCAGCAACAACTTTGACTTCAAGGACATTGACATCTGTAAGTTTGATCTCTGACATCAAAGTATAAGCCTGGCGATAATGTCTGGTGATGAAAATCAGACCATCAGATGCATCAGATAGGAGGGATGGAAGAAACCTTTCTCTTCCTTCCTTTTGAAACCCACTTTTAGTACTGCTATATATATTTGGAATTGGGGGAGGGGGACGGAGGAGAGCACGTCTGGGTTCTCCCAGTCCCCCTCCCTCCCCTCCCTCCAAACTAACTTACTATCAACCCTAAATAAACCTGATCAACTTACTTGACAGCTGCATGAGGATCTTGTCTGAGTTCATTGAAAAAAGCCACCTTGATTTGATGTCTGACCAAAAGTAACTGAAGAATGGAGAACAAATTCAACACAGATCAATAGAATGCACCATTTCAACAATACTCTTTGTATTATTCTGAGGACTGCCTTGAATATCAATAATAATATATAATTTTCAATTAAAGCATTTAAATCAATCTTTTACTTGTTAACTCAATATCAATCAATATACAATCAAGATTATAACAACTAAATAGTAATCATAAAAAATAATAATGATAATAATATATTACTACAGTACCTGGTGTGTTGATTTGTTCAAAAATTCCTGTTAAAAAAGACAAAAATTTATTCATACCACTCTTTCAGTCCCTCATTATTATAAATGCTTAAATGCTCTCGCAAGCAACCCAATTAAAACTTATCTTGGTTTTCTATCTTTGAAGTCAGCGAATAAAATATCATGTTAATAATAATTAGTTTATTACTTTACCTTGTTTATCGAAGTATTATGGTCATCCGGGTGGATGTAGTCCTGAGAAGGACTGTTTGATGGGACTGAGGTTTTGACAACCTGAGCAGAAGTCATCTTCAGTCATCTTCAGAGTCAAAACGTCAGTCCCATCAAACAGTCCTTCTCAGGACTACATCCACCCGGATGATCATAATACTTTGATAAACGTTCATTCACCTGGGTTCAGACCGTTCTATATAATACTTTACCTTATGTGCTTTGACTTTCCTTGCTTCACCATGGTAATAGCTCTGTGCCAACTCATAGAATGCATTCTCTAACCTGATGTATGTATTATACATAAAATGATGTTAATTTTCAGGCAGATGGTAGTGTTCAGGCAGTTTTTTATTAATTTTAATGAATAATGAATAATGAAACAAGTGGAATTTGGGGCTCAGAATTTTTTCTGTGTTCGATCCTACATGTATGTCTTTATTCCATGGTAGTTTGATTATCCATTGTTCATTTCACTTCTCGTTATTCAGTTTTTTATTTCTTTTATAAAATGCAAATTAGAGAAGCTGTTATTTTAAACACAAATGAAATAGAAAGTGTGTACATGTGAAAAGATCTTAATGTTCAGGCAGATGTAGAGGGCTTTGAAGGATAATTTGCTAAAGTCTGAATAAGTACTGGTAAATGATAGATGAGGCGATAAGCTGTGTGGGATGGGCTTGGAAATCATATAAGAACATGCGTAATAGGTATGCAACTGTATAAGGCTGATAATTTACCTATTACGCAAGTACTGGTAAACTTACTTTCCCTGAAAGAAAATACTTCATAATAATTTTAGTAACAGATTCCTACCTTATTGCATAACCAAATAAATGATCTGTGTATGGAAGTACAAACAAGGATTTGGCTGACAGATCACATGCGCTGCATAATGCTGCTGCTCTCTCGGCTGCTTGCATGTCTTCTCCTAATGAAACAATGGGGGATGTGAACGAATGAATCAGTGTAAAAATAAATAGAATGACTGAAAGAATCAGAAAAATAGAATGGAATGGATAGATGAATGAATGGAAAAAGGAAGAAAGGGATAATGAAAAGATTGGGGAAATGAATGAATGGGTGTGAAAATAAATAGCATAACTGGAAGAATCAGAAAAATAGAATGGAATGGTATGGATGAATGAATGGAAAATAGGAAGAAAGGAATAGGCATGGATTGATTGATGGATGGATGGATGGATGGACTGAACGATGGACTGATGGATGGGTGGAAAGATGGGTAGATGGACAGACAGACAGATGGATGTGGGAAGGAGGGAGGAATACAGAGAGAAGAGAGTGAAGAAGGAAAGTGGTAGAGATCAAAATACATGTAACTAGATTTATAACCCTATTTTCACTAGTTTACCTGGTGGGAGAGGAGCATTTTTTTGAATAAGAACAACAGCTACCTTGGTATTACGACCATGAATGCTAGCTCTGTAAAAAATGTGTCATTAAAATGATGCTAAGAAGATGATGATGATAACATTTTTGCAATAGCTTTAATTGTCATACCTGACTTTCTCTACTTGAGCTGCACAATCATTCTGTTTTTCCTTCCACTGCGCATTATCCCAGTCCAGCTCATAGAATACAACAATTAATGCAGGAACTTGCTCCAAGTGTTTGTTCATCCATTTTGTCTTGAGTATCCCCTTGGGTATATACCACTCGTATGATGTGCGCTATTATCACATAATGGATGGATGGATGGTTATTATTATTTACGTCTTCCATAATATAATATAATGAAGAGAGGAGAGACTGTTATAGTGATATTTCATGTGACATAAGCCTTTGTTCTCGTGCCAACAAGAGTTCGATTGTCTGGTCACACAAGCAACTTGTGATGAGCTCTTGTGAAAATGATGTAAAGGCACAACAAGCAGAACAGTTTCTGGGATAAAGGATAACAGAAAAAAATAGAGGGGGAAATATTTTTAGGGATAAGGCACAAAAGGGAAAGCAGTTTTAGTAGCAAGGGATAACAGGATAAATATAACGAGGCATGAAGACATTTTGTCCCTTGACTCGATCAATGCTTCTGGATAAAGTGATGTGATTTCATTTCAAAAGCGATCTTGATCAATAAAAACAAAATAAAATAAAGATGTTTTTAAATGCAAAGCACCTTGCGATAAGATCTGGTGTAACATTTTGGTTTAGAAACAATATTTTTAGCTCTTGTACCTTATATATAAAGTTCTAACCTTAGGTTTAGCTTTCGGATATTCATGATCAATAGGCACGAGTTTAAACGACAATGGGACCCGCTCAGGACGTCTGTTAACAGAAAACGACTCCCATATTGCTTTGTGAAGAGGTTTTTGAGTGAGATCTAACCCTGTAAGAGCTATGAGACCAAAGGGACGGGTGGAAAGTTCACTGGGAAACTCACTGGCGGCCGCCATCTTGGAATCTCACAAGTCCTTGGTACCAGCACACAGGAAGACCAACAAAGAAGTACTTCCTCCATGCTGCTCCGTTGGGGAGGGGGGTGACTTCAGCTAAACAAACCCAGTTATTCTGTAATTTGCTTTCATTATCGTGTCTAAATAAAGGCTATTTTTATTATCATTATCATCATCATCACTGCCACGATCATCCGCATCATTCTCAGTATCATCATCAGTTTCTCATCACTGCCATAACAATCAATTGCTTCATTAAAGTCATCCTTGATCATCGTCATCATCACCACCACCATCATAATTATGCTCATCATCATCACTCATCGTATTCTCTTCGTCCTCCTCTTCATCAAGCTACCGACGTTACATAGAGTACGTACCACCATTGTAAAATGCCAAGTAAATAAAACGAAGCTGGTTGCTCACATCACGTCGCCTTTTTATTGAAGCAAACAAATAAATAAACAAAAGTATACGTGGATATCTTATTTCAATTATTATTTATGAGACTGTAGAACTTCTATAATCGGTTACCCTTTAGCCGAGCGACCGAAACAAAGAACGTCTGCAAATTATGCTATTACCCTTGAAAATTGTCAAGTGTTTATCTTACACCCGCCAAAATGGTTGCCGCATCGCTTAATAAGAGATATAATTTTAGTGAAAACCATTAGTGGGACTTTGACATTATAGAGGTTCAACCGTGTAAATATCAGAACTGTCTCCATGAAATCTAATCGTGATCAAACATCCAGTACTCCTCGTCCATCATAAGGGCGGGGTCATCAGCCTCTAGGAAGTCTTGATATACATCATTCCCCATCTCGTAATTGATCTGTTCGATATGGTTATCCTCATCTTCACCATCACTATCGTTATCATCTTCGTCACTTTCTTCAAGGAAAGGAGCTGAAAACAAATTGATGGGGAGAAAAACTTAGAAAACTGTAGACGTTCGAGGAGTCCACGCTGGACAATTATTTTAGTTGCACCCAAAAAATGGTCGTCATACACGGGAAATTGGGTGTCTCGTATAATAATATCATCTACGGTATTAAGGGGTTCCCCGGTAGCCATGACGTAGGACAGAACGAAAGAATTTTTTGTATGACGTCACATGCACTCCAAGAACACATTATCAATAGGTCACTTTAAAAACGAACACGTAAATTTTCCACACTTTTGAACGCTTGTAACTTTTTTTATTTCAACAAAACGCGTTCAAATTTACCATACTAATATCGAGATGCTTTCTCGAATGACATTCTTTTGCTAATTAGTTTAAAATTCAAATCTCGCCCCAGTCCGCTTCTCCTTTTTTTGAAATGGCCTATGCGTGCAACCAGGGAGGTGCAAAGTCTTATACACGTCAAGTGATACTTTCCTTACCTATTGACTGGAGTCTTGGGTTTCCGAATCGCAATGATTCGCTAGACAGGTCGAATGTATCTATTTTACAGTTGTTATGACAAGGACTACACGTGTCTGACACGCCTTTTTCGGTTATCTGGGTACCTTTTTGACAAAAGAGGAAAAAAATTATAGCAAGACCAAGTATAGATGCGTAGCATTTATTTCAGAAAGTCTCGTAGTTGAGAAAAATGTAATAGTGGAGCATATCCAGTATTTCTTAGAGGGGGATACCAAGTAATGATCAAAGGCTGTGGACCTAGACCCCAATTCCGACTACACCCCACGCCTTCAGCGCCATATTGGATGATAAAGGTCCAAACTCGTTATCCAATATGGCGGCAAACGATCACATGATTAACTAGACACAAATTAATTCAAAAGCCTTCAATTTTATCGATACCCTGAAACAACCTCTGGGCTGATGAAAGTCAAGGTACGGCTAACTCACAGATTAAACCTGACCTCTGGGCTGATCTAAGTCAGGGCACAGTTAACTCACAGATCGATACCCTGAAACAACCTCTGGGCTGATGAAAGTCAGGGTACGGCTAACTCACAGATCTACGCCACCCTTGGTTCCTTATGTATAATATATATTATATTGCTGATGACGTCACATATGATCGCTGATGACGTCACTAAAGTGATGACGTATACATTACCTCCAATGATAAATGTCAGTACAGGTCTTTGTGATGACGTATAGTATTCAGTCAAGTGGTTTAGAGATATGTCAGTGATGTTGATGGATCCACTCATGTCCAGGGTTGTTAGATTGGTACAGTGACAAAGGAGACTCCTAACAACTAATAAACATACGTACACATGAAAGATTAATCATACAAATGTCGAGTATAGTAGTGGTGGGGATGGAGGGGGAGGAGGAGGGGGTCCTCTTTCTGGCTGACAGCACATGGTGGTCAGTGTTTGACAACCATTTGAAGCAGATAATGAGATTCAAATAATTTTATCAACTGATTGAAGCTCAGCAACTTTCTTCTAGATTACATTAATCATGACCATGACGAGACATTTATCAGCTGATTGAAATCCAGTTGTAGACTATAGAAGAAACTACGTACCATCATCTGACAAGCCTGAACATGCTCGAGCAACAAAGGTCTGTATGGAGCCATTACGGGCCAGCTGACTGATACTAACATCAGTGATCTTCGATCCAAAAAAAAAAAAAAAAAATTAGGGTCATAAATATTGTCATATTGTTGAAAGGATTAAAACATTTAGCTGGCTTGTCCTCAAAACTAGTATCACATAAATATTGTGAAAATCTCAAAGTGAGTGCTGTGTTGAAGGGATGACTTTTTCAAGCATTCTGATTGGATGATGAGTGAGTTTGCAAAATATGATTGGTTCTTCATGTTGTGAGTTTCCTACAATGACCGTGTCATCCCATGTAATTTCATGTTCGAAAAGTAACACCATTTTAATTTCTTTATCCCATGTTGCAAAGTGTCTTCTAAAGAGCTGGACACACGGTGCAACTGCATAGTTGCATGCAACATGAAATTGCATGTCTTTAACAGTTGCATGCAAGAAGTTTCATTGTGTGCACATGAGCGGGATTGTTGAACCCTCATTTCATATCTACTGGCAAGGGTGTAATTTTGTCAGCCAATAAAATGTGACTTGTATGTGTACCCCTTGGTGGAATTGGGCAGCATTCCTTGCAAGTCTTGCTGCTGTGAAAACTGCTTTTTGTGACTTCCCTCTAAAATTTCATGGCAAGCAATGTTGCATGCAATAATAGTACTTGATAGCGTGACCACGTGTCATTCCTAGAGTATAATTTTTTTGTTTAACAGTTAACTTTATTCATCTGATCCATACCTCATCGACATAGCTGATGTTAAGTGTTTCCAGTGTGTGACACGTGATAAGAGCTTGCAATCCAGTATCAGTGATGTTACCAAAACAGCCCTCGATGTTCAGTGACCTGTACCACAGGGGCAGGGGAAAAAGATATTATATAGGAGCTGTTCAGTTTGTATACTATGAAAAACCTAATTAGTGACAAGAGGACACTGCCATGTCCCAGCATTTTGATTGGGTGATTAGCAAACTGGTTCAAGGTAAGGTAATATCTTTAAACCCTAACTGTGTTCTTCAAAGCAATTTCTTACAGTAAAGTAATTTATGTTCTCCTTCTCTACTTTTTAGTTTATCTTTTGCTTGTGAATGGACAAGTGTTGAAAGGCCATCAAAAATAGATGTGATGCCAATGAGATAGGACAGGGAAAAAGGAGGCAAGGAGAGGAAAGAAAAAAACCAAAAGCTTGACAAAAGAAGGAAGGAATGAGAAGAAAAGTGAAGAGAGAGTAAAGTAAAGGGAGATAAGAAAAGGTATTGAAAAAGGAATGGAAAGAAATGAAAGGGAATGAAACACTGTAAGGCATAACGTACTTCAAGTGGATAGATGATTGGCCCAGCAGTAGAAGAATCTGATCATCAACAGCATCACAAAGTGAAAGATCCAGCACAACCTTAACAAAATAAGACTTATAATTAGATTTTACGCTGATAGAAAATAATCTGCTAATGATAACTTTAGCTTACCAAGTGATTTAGTCGTGATAATACAGAGAGTCCATGTGTTGTCACTGAAATGTAAAGGCAAATGAGACAGTAAGCCCCCAAGTAAGGATCACATAATTAAATGTAAGGGCAGGGAAGTCCTTGGTATTGGCCCTACATGCCACACAGGCAAAAAGGATGATGATGATGATGATGAAGGGTGGTGGTGTTGGTAAAAGCAGTGGTGGTTGATTCAAGGGATAGATCTATGGTAGGTTTCACTGTGGGCCATACGGTCACTTTATGATCAGGATAGACAAGAGGAATAGCGTCTCCAGAAACATAAAAAAATGAAGTTTCTCTTTGGGGTGAACAGCCAACTCAAATTCCAACACTCGCTCCTGCAATCAAGGTGGGGATGGGGAAGACATCTTATCTAGAGGATTCAGATGTGGACAATACCTGTTTTAGGACACTTTTTAAAATAAAACTCTTCTATCTTGGGACAGCCCTAGAACCAAGAAAAGAAAATATGCTTGATTAAATTAGATAATTATTAGAAATGAAGTTAAATTATTAGAAATAACAAAATGACAATATTTATTTATCTGTCCATCTGTTCATCCATTCATCCCTTCATCCTCTATCCATCCATTCCATCCAACTATCTTACTATCTGTCTGTTCATCCACCAGACCATCTATTCCTCTGTTTGTCCCTCCAGCTGTCTATCCATCCAGCAGTCCATCCATCCACACACCTATCCATCTATGCGTTCATCCCTCTCTCTCTCTCTCTCTCTCTCTCTCTCCCTCCCTCCCTCCCTCCCTTTGTCTCCCCATCTATTTATCCACCACTACTGCTACATTCAATGGTTACTTATCGATAAACCACTTATAAATCAATCTATTGCACTCATTCCAGAATAAGAATAACAATTACAGTGGAACAGCTACCTGAATTATATCTCTCACACCAGTATCTGTCAGAGACAAACACTCAGATATATCAATATATTTGAGGTTTTTACACCTTGTCCCAATAAACGCACCACTGCTATCAGTCAGCTGTTTAACAAATGAAAGGAACATTAGCAATATCCTGATACAAATAGGAATATGTGAGCACTCAAGATTCATCATGACTCTGGGAATACATTTATGTAAAGCCTTCCTAGAAGTGGCCAACACCGAGATACCATGAAGGAGAACCTGGGGAGCTTTATAGAGTGATCTGTGAGCCTTGTAACATTTGTGTATAGAACCCTTGCAGTCAGCACGTCAGAATGCAGCTCCATTTGGTTGATAAAACTGCAAGATATTTTTGGTACATACCCTGCTGCAGTGGCTTAGAATAAGACTCTCTACAGTGTCTGACAGCATGAAGAAACACTAAAAAGAACAAAATAATACTGCATTTATAATTATACCTACATTCTAATTCATTTGTGTTAATATCTGCAGCAGTTGGAAGTCTAACTTTTTGTCCATTTTTTCCCTATCCTCCAGGATTTCATCATGACGACTTTTTTGACTCTTGAAGGCCATTACACATTCAAACTTTTAGCTGAAACTTGTGTGCTTTCTACTCATGCTACACTACTGAAACTAGTGTCATGAACAAGTTTCAGGATGAAATTGCGCTGTGTAATAACCCTGTGAATCTTGTCTCACAACACTGTTGCACATATGTTTCAGCTTAAATTTTCAATTTGTTACAGGAGCTTTACTCTATGTATCCCCTCCCCACATCACACATCCCCTCCCCACATTACACACAGCCCTCCCCACATCACACACCCCTTCTCCCCACATCACACACCCCTTCTCCCCACATCACACACCGCCCTCTCCACATCACACCACCCTCCCCACATTACACACCCCCCTCCCCACATTACACACAGCCCTCCCCACATTACACACTTATTTTGACAACTTTACCAACCTTCCCAGAAAGCCTTTTATTATCTGAGATGTCAATATGCTTTAGATTTGTACACTGCTTGAATATCCACCAGAATCTAGAAAGAAACATCCATAATGCCCTTATTTTAAAATATGCCTATTTATTACTCAAGTACAAATTTTAAAATTTCAATAAACCTTTTTAGCTTGGGCATAATGTTTTCCCATTTCAGGCCATGTGTCATTCTCTAGATAATAAGAATATGGCTTGAGTTGTATATATATTTGTGTGTGCTCTCATGTGCAAGCATTAAATAAAGAAATGGTACTCTAGGGAATGACGTAAGGTTTGAGAAAGGAAGATATTACACCAAGGTTAAAGGACCTGTTCAAGTGCTGAAGCTCACCCTTTTTCACCAGCCTGATAACACCTACGCAGAACTAATTTCTGGATAAAACAAAAGACATCAAGTAAAAAATCAATCAAATAACTTACAGCCATTCTCAATCACACGCGCCCTCTAGCGATTGTTTTTGTYRCGAMGAAGAAGGTTTTGGTGGACGTCAATCACAAGGCATTTCCATAACATTGTCGGAAAACACAAAGCTATAAGGGCATGTGCCTATAGATTAGAATGTCATGGGAACGCCTTGATTGACGTCCACCAAAAGCTTATTCATCGCGACAAAATGATCGCTAGAGCGGCGCGTGTGATTGGAATGGCTGTAAAAGAGAAAAAAAGAAAGAAAGAAAAACAAACTGGAAAATTTCTGTACATTTTACGCTAACATTTGAATTTTTAGATCAAAGGATTTTTTAAAGAGTTTAAAATAACAAGTCAAAATGAGGACAAGATGTCTGAAATGTGGGATACCTGTGTCAAAAAATCCATCCACCACAGGAAACCCAAGACACAGAAATCAATCAATCATAATTGTTGTTTTTTACCTCTAATTTACTGCATTCTTTTGACAAGGTCTTGAGGGATGAAGTTGATACTTCTACTCCTGTTATGTTTATTTCCCTAAGGTTTTTGCAGTGTTTGGCTGAAAAACACAAGAAAATATACATGTTTATACTTAAATTTCTAATCTTTACTGTGTTTAATAAACCCACTGGGAGGCAGCACTAAAAATAATGGCCGGTCAATGAAAGACATCCAGTCCAAATTTACACTTGTTAGAAAGTATTCTTTCAGCACCATAGCCACCAGTATGGTTGGTCTGGTTTTAACTGCTCCATTTTTTACATTCAGAACCATTTCCCCCCCTCAAAAAAAATATTTATTACACAAGTAAATAAAAAAAAAAACCAGGGCCTCCTTTTTTTAAAAACTGGACTACTATCCAAGTGGTGACTACAGCCTTGTCTTGACCGACCACATTGACTACAAAGTTTCAGCAAATTAATTCTGTGCTGTCATGGAATTTTAAGATGAAGTCCATTAGATGAAGAAATATATACACAGCAAAGAAAAGTCTTACCAATACAATGAACTGCAAACTCTGTTAAAAGAAATGGAGATGCTGAAAGATCAAGTGAAGTAAGATTTTTACAGCCTCGACGAAATATTCCCAGCAGAATGTCATCTGTTAGACCTGTTGGAATTAAAAGAGACCTTGCTTGAAGACGTTTTAAGCTTGGGCGTAACATTTTTCAATTTCAGACCACATGTCATTCTCTCGAGAATATGCTTCTTTGTTTGAACTGATCACCCCAATCATCCATACCACTTGGAATAAAAAAGAGTACCCTCCCCCCCCCTCAAAAAAAACCAGGCTATTTTCCTAGTTGCTGACCTCCTTTGTAGAGAGAAAATAAGTTTTTGAAATCTAAGTGTGTTACTGATGGCCAAACTTTAAGAAGAAGGCACTTCCATCTTGTACAAACTGTAAAAGAATAATAATAAATAAAACAATGTTAAGATAGATTACAGTCTAATGCTACTCCAAGCATACAATGAAGTATGAAATGTTGATTAAGAAGAAAATAGCATACCTCTTTCAATGTGTATTTTGTCTTTCAGTTGCAGATAAGAAAATATTAGGATCAAGATGTCATCATTTAAATCTGATATGGATAGTTGACCCCTAACAACAAGGAAAAAACACTAATATTACCAACTTGCCAAAAAGCTAAATATTGTTACAAATCAAATTTATTTCCAATTTCAGATCATATAGATGTAACAAACTTGATTACTGTCTTCTTACTTTTCATTGTCCAGGTTTTCATTTGATTCTTTTTCTTCTAAGAGTGATAAATTTTGGAATTCTTCCAGAGCTTCCTAGAATATGAAATCAGACATTTTTTCCCCTTACATTAGGCAATAGTAGATTATTAAATATCATCATTATATTATTTTTAGTGTTGTACTCTGTCATTACCAAATTTCACCTAATCCAAAGTCAAGACCTTGCCCATCATCCCAGTAGTTCTATATTAGATCAAAATCGTGGGTTCGATTCCCATCTGGAACTCAGATTTTTCTAAGTTCATTCAGTGTCGTTTCAACCCCATTATTCACACATTATATATGATCCTCATTATTATACAACCTTCACAACCTTTAGAATACAGTCTAATACACTTGGCTAAAGCTTGCTGACTATTTAAAAATTAGTCAAATCCAACTACACTACTGGTCTATCATCAGTGCTGCATTCTGAGTGGATGAGCTACTACTAGGCTATGAGTTACATGTATAGACTACTAGTAGCGAAAAGTGCTGGCTTTGATAGCCCATTCAAGCTTGAGGACTTATTGCTAATTAGACCTGCAGCCCATGTGGTATAAAAGTCTGACATCAGGCCAAAGGCCGAATGGGCTATATACTTGTAGACCACGAGAGTGAGAGGTCAAATTGTTTAAGTATGAACCTACCAATTGGTCAAATATGGATACAAACAATATTTTGAAATTAGGTTGAAATTATTTATTTTTTGCGTTGTCTTTGTTTCCAAAACCAGCACTTCTGATACTACTGTAGTGATCACTAATAGACCACTTAGTAGCTCAGCCAATCAGAGCACAGCATTTGTGATAGACCACTAGTGAGTTTATACTAATAACCCTTATCTCTATTAGGTCTAATTCCTTTGCTAATTATTATTACCAAGAGAAAAAATACCATTGCCTAGCAACTCACCTCTAGAGACTGTTCTTTACTAACTGGTCCACCTGTTATAATATACATATCATGCATAAAACATTCACTTAATAATACAACACCAATACAAAGGAAAGGAAAGGGAGAAAGGAAAAAGAATGGAATAATGTTTATTGTCAATTACCTTTTCTCTTTCTGGTGGGAGTCATTACTGTCATAACTCTAATTAAGATTTAGAATAAATATATTTTTAAAAATAAAATGCTACAAGAAAATCATTTAGTTTTAAAAGACATAAAATAACACTATTGTTTATATATACCTGTCATGTAACGTACGTTCTTCATCTGCAGATTGCTTGGCTTTCTGAGCTTCATATTCATTACTGTATGTGACAAACCCAAATCTATCATGCAATGCAATGCAAAAAACAACAACATGAGAAAAAATCTAAAGTTGGGAAAGGTAAAAAAGACAATTCAAATTAAAAGAACAAATGTCATCCCTTACACATAATAGACTTCTTCAGTTTAGGCATAATGTTTTCCCATATTAAATTTGGGCCATGTGTCATTCCCTAGAATATCATGTCTTTGTTTAAAGGTCGTGTATCAGAAGACATAATTTATGAATATGTATACAACTCCAACAAAGAATCTTATTCTCAAGAGAATGAAATGTGGTCTGAAGTGGGAAAAACAATATCAGGCCTGTGGCTAGGACCTTGAAAGGGGAGGTTCATTGTTATACGATTTCTTTATAGAGTAAAATAGCACCAAACATCATTTTGTATTCCTACAAAGGKGGGGGGGGGGGGGGTMAAATCMCCCCTAGAGACGGGCCTGAATATGCTCATGCTGAAAAGGGTCTATTGAGCTCTGTCTTCTGTTGATCAATGATTTTTTCAATACCCATTAATTATATGCTTACCCTCGTGATCTCTTCTTGATACGATCTTGTACTATCTGCGCCTGCAACACTCTTCCAAACGCACTGAAGAATTCTTTGAACTCTCTACTCCTCACTTTATAACCTATATTACCCACATAAACCTTACATTTGTTAGCTATGCTGCGTTTTTTCTTAAAGGCTTTGGACACTTCATCGAAAAGCCCTGTACCAGCGGCACTTGTCTGTTCAAATTGGCCACCATTTGTATTACACTGTAACCTGATTTCAGCTCCGTTTTCTTTAGCTTTAATCTCGAAATCTTCGACGCCATTTTGTTTTACTTCAACTCCAGGGTTTTTCTCTTCTTCTTGATTTTTCTCCTCGTCTAACAAGCACAACAAACCGCTGCTCCTTTGGTAGTTTAATTGTTTTAGACCCTTGACAAACTTGGAAGAATTTTCTCCATCCATGCTCTTATTCAGCAGCTCACCATGCTCTTTTAATTGCGCGTTGTTAAACATTTTTCTTTTCTGTTTCGCATTACGAAGGTTTCCTTACTTCGAAAATTAGAAAACGGGGTGAATTCCTTGAAGGAGAAAACCTTGAACTTTTGTTATAAAACGCCTTGTATTTTTATATTTTGCTTCACCAATGCGAAGTCATGGAAGCCGCCATCTTGAACTGCTTACCACAGGAATCCCACGCGTGTATAGGCGCCTGGGCAAACAAGAAATGAAACTCTTGAAGGGAGAGGACACGGGGCGGCCCTTAGATAAAGAAAATATTACATCTTACTTCAAGACCTACAAATAAAGACTGCAATTTATTCCTATTAGTATTTTGCTACTACACATACTGTTCGATAGATGTGAACCTAGAACGAGCTTTCAAGAAGCGCAGTTAGCGACAACTTTAATTTTACCGTCAAAAATCCAATTCCTTAGGGGGAGGGGGAGGTGTGAGCAATAGCGTCAAGAAGCTTGCGAGTCGATACTTTTGATCTCGCAAAACCACTACTTCTTTTTCATCAAAAACAACGAAATTCACACATCGATATCAATTTAACCTGCGCTTTTAGAATTTGGTAGTTTTAGTACGAAAATCCAAAATTGTGGAAAATCAGGATTTGTGGATTGACCTCTTGGATCGGACTTTTTCAAAGTGGAGCGTGGAATGGATACAACATTTTCTTTGATATTTCGACTCAAAAACGATGGGAAAAGTTTAACAGCACTTGAATAATTGCTTTGCCGTAGTTGTTTTTGAAAATGAGTGAAAAAGATGGTTTTCATGAAAAGGAAACGGTTAGCGGTACCGGCGAGAATTTGTGAGCGTAGTTCCGCATATTATTCAACTTATTTTCAGCTTTAACAAAGGAAAACTCAAAAAGAGATCCAAAATTGATCCTCACTTGTGGCCAGAAGACAATGCCAAAACAGAAAGAGGGCGCGGTCGTACCGATAACATCATGAGATATCGGTCAGAAAAATTAAAAATTAAATCTCTAGGCCAAAGAGACGGATATTCTATACCGTATCACTGCTTCACTGTACTATTCAAGTAAAAATTAGAAAATGTGAGTAGAGATTTTTGTGTGTTCAAACATATATGTATGTGTTTATTCTAGACTATAGTTCAATATGTGGTTTGGGCTTCCTGTGGTGCGATGAAGGTCCAGATAACACAGGTAGACCAAAATCTGATAGAGCTGTAACTTCCTGAGGCGAATAAGGATGGGCAAAGATCCCATCGTCAGATTTTTTTTTTTTTTAATTTTGTCTTATATAAAGTACATCATACTAGAAGTAAAATAAGGAAATGAAAATGGGGGTCACCGAATTCGTTTAGCCGTCAGAATCAGGGCGTGGAAGTTCACCCTTTTTACGGTAAAAGAAAAATGCAAACAAAGCAAACATGGAAACTCTGTCAACTGTTACTGGGTTGCCTCTATTATTAGCAAGCCTCAGTCGTACATTTGAACAAGTTTGCAATGCTGTAGCCAAAAGGTAATATAATAGTATGATTGCGTATTACCTTGTCTAACTATAACTCTTCTCTTATGGTATTCTTCTCTTATACTAAAATAATTGCAGACCCTACTTGAAGTAGAAAAAGAATGCTGATTCAGCTAAAAAAACAGTCAGTGCGTTACGCAATTCTTTACCTTTCAACTTGACGTTATCACGGCGCGACACGAATCAAATTGCCCAAAATTGTCTCTGTAACTGTGCTCGGCTGATGAAGTGAGAACGGTGGGCCATAAGGGAGTAAGTTAGACGAGTTGCTGCAAGTTCACCATTTTCCATACATCGGTTCACTGGCCAAACATAAAGTATTTAATCGAGGTTGCAAGGTTCAAATTTGAATAACCCTTTGAAATGTCCTCGCTTGAGCGCTTTGTGTTTGACCAGTGAAACGATGTATGTAAAATGGTGAATGAGGAACACACGTTAGACGATAACCAATGCGCGCGCACTTTTCCGATTTGGATTGAGTTTTTGAGGAGCTTAGCTTAATTCTCGACGATTTCTCAACTAAAGCGAATTCTAAGCGAATTAAAGTATTCTATCTTTGCAAAAAAACTTCAAGTGATTGTCGGCTTTGATGAATTTCAATTTGACGTGTTTATCTTTCCTCCGCACAGAATCCTACGAAGGACCGTCTTTTCGTGGCACAAAACTTTTTATCTTGAAAAATCGATATTTCTTTAATATCTTGTACCCCATTCACGCCTAAACGTGTTTAGTTAAACTATGTTTTCATTAGGAAAAATATTGAGAAACTAGAAACCTACAATATAATGAAACTTTGTAAAATATTGTCAGAGCAAGACAAAGGATAGTTTACATGCATTATTTCACCAAATATTGTGCAGTGTTCGTAGATAGTTTTCCAAACCTSTTTAGTTAAACCACTTTAAAACATGTTTAAGCCTTGGTGTGAATGGGGTATTGGTTTTTGTAGTCACGATTTTAATAAAACGCTGTCATATAATAGGTAACAAAGCACTGAACATTCATATTACACAATATAAAAAAGATTGACCTCGGGAAACTCAAGATTTTAATTTTTTTTCAATGGCAAAAATGGCCCGTTTTGTGGCTGACGTCGCTGCTGTGGTAACTATTCACGTGATTGTTTTCACGATGGTTAATATGGTTAGCGTATCAGATATCAAGATATAGATCTTTATTTGCTATAAAATAATTTCTAGTTCTATTACTCTAAAGCCCGAAACTATTATATATTAAGCAACCTTATTAAGGCATATCGGCGTTGTCCACAACGAGTAAAGAAATATAATATTCCAAACCACTTGCAATTTTTATCTTTCTAGAATATTACAAAACTAATAGAGTATGACATAACTATTTATGAGTTGTGAGTCGAAATTTTCTTGCTAACGAAAAAATTTAAGAGTCTTAAAAAATAGATCGTATTTTTTAACAGCGTTCATCATCTCAGTTAATTCATTTCTCAAAGTCGTTAGATTGTATTTTTTGCCGTTGATTTTCACTACGTTCATGTTCTTTTCAAGCTTTTCGCAAATCGCTCCTCTACGTCCCGGACAAATGCGCAAATATTCTTCAAGGAATTCGTTCTCTTGGTCGTCTTTTGTTTCTGATCCACTCCTGCTCGATTTTGTACTACGAGTCATGTGTACGGCATCTTCTATTTCTTCAAGGTTATTAGAAGTTGAATCCAATTTGATTTGAACAGGATGTTCAGCTTTGTTCAACGGTACCAAGCGACGACCAGGCCGTTCCCTTCGTCGATTATTTGACTTTTTAGACGAGGAAGGTGGCGGTAGAGGGTAGTGACAAAATACGTCGTCCGCATCACCATCGCTATAGGTAAATGGTGATGAAGATGACGCGGGGGACTGAGATATAGGAGAATCTAAGGAAGATAGAGTTGAATCCGATAGAGTCAATGAATGGTGAGATAAATGTGATGGGGTATGGGGAGAGAAGGAAAACTCGAGGGATTTGGATGAATGAATGGGAGTGGAAAACATAGATTGCTTGCCCCAGTTTGATGGTACGGACTGAGATAAGCTTTGCCATTGTTCGCCGTTTGACGATGTTGATGATGTTGATGACAACAGTTGACTTCGAATGGGGTTTAACTTTGGCAACGAGCCCGGCTTCTTTGATGTGGGTGTTGGTGGAACAACGATTAAAGCTGGTTCTCCCTGTGGTAACGACAGTGGGGGCAGTTTTCCATGTCTCTTGCGTTCACGCGTTTTAGCATCGAATGTAAATCCGGCCTTAGCTATGGGTGATACTGCCCAATTTTGAGGTAAGAGAGCAGCGTTGGGTGTCAAAGGCGGAGCAGGAGAATATAGTGATGATGATGTTACCAATGTATCTTTAATGGGAGGTAAACATGGCGAACGAACCGACGTTCTTTCCCATGATGTGGTAGCGGGTTGAGCATGTGTTCTGTCGACGTGAGTTTGTGAAGAACAACGCCTTTCTTCAAATCCTGACACTTCACTTTTAGCCAAGATTTCGCGACCTTTTTTCGGATATATTTGCTTAAAGTCATCAACGGGGATGGCACAGTCTAAAGACGACGTTTTCCTAGACCTTGCTGGTTTTGAAGTGCCATGTCTTCTTGATTGGCGTCGAGTCTTACTACAACCTGTTTTATGATCAGTGGATTCTTTGACCTCGTCAGTAGATTCTGAGTAATTTTGAATGAGCTTGTTTTGATTTTCACAAGTATCAGCCCAGTTGTATGACTTTCTCTTTGTATAGTCCCTCTCTTGCCTCTTGGCCGTGGTCGTCTTTCTTGCTGCTCTGTCGTGTAGAGACTCCCTTTTTGATTCTGATACAGTCAATATTCTCTTATCATCGTTTCTAACGACTGACATTACTGTAACCTGACTGTCTTGTAGAGGTGGAAATACGCTCTCTCTTGTAGGCGGAGAGCTTTCAATATTTAAAGTAATTGGGCCATTTAAACGCCTTGCTAAAAGGGTCTGTCGCTGGAACTTTTCCATCTTTTTCTTTTCAATGTATTTCCCTCCGGTTTACCAATGTCACTCTTGTTGATTCGAGCCTGTTTTTTTCAGCGTGAGTTAGAAAGAAAATTTGATGAATCAGTCCTCAACATCATGAAATTTCCGAAAGAGAAACCGTTTTGTTCGACACCAAAAAGGAATGACTTGAATGGAATTTGATAGTTCAATTTATATTCACGAACAAACAATACAAAATGGATCTAAAATATCAGTATGACGTCCTATCTCTGATGAAAAAATGCGTTTTTCATCTCTGATTGAAAAACAAAAACACAGGTAGCTATGCAGTCTCCACCTTCTTCGTCACACCTTGGCGTTTATGACGTCAACTTTTTTTGTTGTTTTAATCAATTTTCAAATACGTAACATTCACACATGAATCGAATGAATCTGGGTAAGCCAAAAAGAAAATTCTAGATTTCTTACCACCTAATATACATAGTTGAGTTATCAACTTAAGAATATTTCCCTCATTTGGCACATATCCTCCAACGATGAGAAGATATGGATCTAAGATCTATAATTAAAACAATTGGTTTAAATTTCATTTCTAATAGTTCATTAAAACAAACACAGTGCGCTCTCCCCGGTCACGCCGACTTAGTGCTTATGACGTCAAATTCCCTTATTTGGGTTATTATTTGAACTGTTATTTTGGCTGTTCTTTTCTTTTGCTTAGTACAACGCACAAGACGGATTGCACACGTGTAGGGATATTGGTAAAATGTTACTTATCTTATATAACCAAGTCATTTAACCACAAGCAGATAGCCTATAGAGACTCTTCTTACTATTTTTCTACGTGATAGGATTTGTTGTCCAAAGTTAGAAGTGCTGTTTCCGGTGAAAGATAGAATTTTTTATTTTTCGCTTCATTTGAGGAACGGCGGAGCGTTTTTTGAAGTGACAGGAACCAGGAAAGTGTATGTAGGAACAATATTTTATCCAATAAATTATTTATTATTGTTATTATTATTGTTCTACCTCTAAAATGTATTTCTCCTCCGGCTCAAAAAGTGTGCCCCCACCCCCATCCCCCCGTATCCTTCCTCCCTGTGTTTTTGTGAAGTCTACGGTTGGAACTGCAAATACGTCAAAACTTAAAAGCTATTCGAACTGGAATTTTCTGGAAACTCCACGACCCACCAATGAATAATGAACGACCCCACAAACATAATATGCTGATTAAAGCATGGCGTTTTTAATTAACAAAATTATCAAAGGAGGGAACTGGATAAATCTAAAGCTTGGGATAAATTAATTATATATATATAAAAAGAAAAGTGCGATTAAATAATAGAAAATAAACAAGACTATGAAACATACATATACTAAAATGAATGAATCTTAGTCTAATTTTTTTAAAAATGTTCTATATACAATTATAATAGGTGGTAGACTTTCTTGAAGAGATAGTCTTGAGCAATCTTTTTTACCACGATTTCCGTCATCTAGCCGTCAAAATATGTAAAGAAATGAGTGAGTCCACAACCAGTTTTGACGGCTAGATGACGAAAACGTTGCAAATAAGTCTAGGAAATCGCACGATGTCGAGAACGATAGACCCCTTGCCAAAATGGCGGCCGAAAATTGAAATGCATTAAATTAGAAAATCAATACCAGCGCTGGAAAGAGCACCTTTACTTTAGTAACCCTACAAAAATGCATTATGTATGGTGTTATATTGGCCGAGAAAACTCAAGTTCTTGAAGATTGACAAATGTACAGACAGTTGTATGTCTGGGGGTATACCTTACATAATGAATCTTCTTGCGGTTACTAAAATAAAGGTGCTCTTTCCAGTGCTTTTATTGGTTTTTCTCTCAGTTTAATTTTAACCCATGCAGCCGAATTCGCGGCCGCCATTTTGGCAAGGGGTCCATTCGGAATTTATAGGTACGAGTGATGTTTTGAAAGTTTTCAAAATTAGACGAGCTTTTAGACTAGTTCAATTTGAGAACTTTCAAAACATCACGAGTATCTTTAAATTCCGAATTGTACGAGAAGGTTGTGCGATTTTTTGTTTATAATACACTCAACAAAATTAAGCAACTAAATTGGTACTCTACAGAGAACAATTTAGGATTTAATTGTACTCCTCTTGTCCAATCAGAATCGAGTAATTTTGTAGAGTGTTATATAAGAGTGCATTATAAGAGGACATACCACGGAAAACTAGAGCAAACGCGTTCAGTGCTAATTTCAACGAAATTTCGGGAGAAAACGTTTTTTAGATCGCTTTACCCTAGGTTTATTGCCTCCAACGTCGACTGCGATGCCAAGCTCCTTTCTCATTTCACTTAGGTTGTAATGCTGACCATTTATTTTCACGAGGTTCATAGTTTTTTCAAGTTCTTCGCACACGGCGTCTCGATGTACAGGTCGCAGGCATTTATACTTTCTTATCTTTGTCCATTCGTTGTCTGAAATTGCCTGGTCTTCCATACACTCAGCCTTGCTTGTCTTTGTATCACAAGATGTTTCCTTGAGGTTTTCTGAACAGTTTATACTTGGTAAAGGGGTGATCAGAGGTACCAAACGACGGCCTGGACGGATAACACGTGTAGGGGTGTTCCTTTCCAATGCGGTAGTGGGGGGCGAAGGATAATAAAGGTATTCTACATCTTCAGGGTAAAATGATCGTGAGGGGGGTGGTGGAAATGAAAGGCTTTGGAAGTGGTCATGATTCGATGTACCTTCATGAAGGATAAGTCGTGATGATGGAGAAGACGACTCGTGAAGTAATGTGGACGCCCTGAAGCGCAAAAAAGGCTGCGGGGCAGAGGAACAAGGCTGCCGGGCTGAGGAACAAGGCCATGGCAATGCACCAGCTGTCTGAAGAGGGATCGTAGAGGACCGAAGTCGCATTGCCAAGGGCTGGTCTTCTAAAGATGCCGAGTGGAAAGGGTTTAGTGGCGTCAATAACTCGTAGGTTGTACTCTCTCTTTGTACACCATGACCCTTTGTGTGTGGTAGAAATGGAAAATCATGCTGGGAATCTGAAAAACTAGTGTTCTCCTTCTCAGCCAATTGTGTCATTCCTTTTGGTCTTCGTTTTATCGGAGGTAGTCTTATGGGTAGACTCGTGGGTACTGTGCGCGCGGCCATAATGAGATCGTCTGCGTGTGGACCGCGCCATTCAAGATGAGAGTAGTCGAACACTGGGTATGAAACAGACCTCTCGGGGACCTCAAATGGGCCTGACCTCTGGACTCCGTGGTCCATGGTCTTCAAAAGACCTGACCTCTTGTCGTAGCTGCATTCTTTCTTCTTAACAATATCTGGTAGACTCACCACTTTTTTCTTCTCTTCCTGTTCACTTGAGCGCAAACTTCTCATCTGATGTTGGAATGTAAATGCAGGAGTCGTGTTTAACCGCGGCAAGGAAAAACGGTTCAATTCTTCAGGAATCTCAAATGCTTTAAAGCCCTCCATGAATTGTTCTCGTTCCTATTTCAGTAGGTTGATCAATGAATAGGTCGGCTCGTGGAGATGTTGTACTGAAGGATGGGTTTATGGCTAGCTTTTTGTACTTTGCTTTGACGTATTTTGACGATTATTTGTTACTGTAATTAAAGTGCAGCTTAATTAACTATAAGCACAGCTAATTAGCAATAGGTCGTTGATCCCATATGGGGAAACGAGCATGCATTTCTTAGTGCCATGCATGATGCGGGGTAGGACTGGTAACTGTCGAGAAAATACGTTCTTATGTTGTTCTGAAAGCCTGATTTTATTTTTGTGTTTTGACAACGTAACAAGAAATTTAAAAATGTTCCTTTGTTTTTACAAGTAATTTTTCCTCTTTAAATATAAACCATCGAACAAGAATAGTTTTTCCATTTTAACTTTAAAAGTATCTTTTTTTTGCACTTGATTTGCCTCCCCTTATTATTATTGTTATGACGCAGACTCGATGACGCAAAACGGTACAATTTAGACCTGCAATGCGCCATGGTCACGCGCCATTGCTCCGTTGCAACGTGACCACGTGTCCTCAATGACCGATGTACGTGCTATGATCACGTGTCAGAGGCGTTGTCCTTGCTCGGTTGCAACGTGACCACACGAGATGTTTTAGTAGAGAGTGGAGTAGATAGTTTTACGTATATATATTCACTTATACTTATCGTTTACTCAAGGGAATTCAGAAAAAATTCTATATTTTAATGAGCGATGTACGTTCTGTGATCACGTTTCAGGGCGTTGTTCGAATTTGCTCAGTTGCCACGTGACCACAAACGAGATATTCTTAAAAGTCGAGGGTGTAGCAGAAAACATTAAAATTTACAGTTTACAAAAGAGAATTCAGAGAAAATTCTCTACTTCAATGACCGATGTGAGTTTGTCCTTTGACCATCCGCCGCCGCGCTGGTAGCTTTGTTGCTGTTAAATGTTCATTATTATTTTCTATTCTTTTTTCCACGAAGTCTGCTCTTACCAGTTGTATAAAACCACACCCAGTTTCCGTTATTTTTTTAAGATTCTTTCCTTTCTATTTGTTTTTTTTTTTTTTGGTTTTTGTTTTTGTTTTTGTTTATCACCATCAACTTGATGTACGAACAGCCTCACTGAAGAAATAAACCTGAAATGAAACAATACCCAATAATACTTTAGATGAATGCAACCGTTATTTTATTGCGACATTTAGGACGTTCATGCGCAAAAGATCCCATCCTCAGGTTTACATTTTTTTCAGCATGACGATGCTAGACGTCATACTAGAAGTAAATGAGCAAATAATAGAATGATTTTATTTAATCCACGAAACAAAGTCGTATAACAGGACGTTTTCTCAAGTTTGCGTGTGCATCCAAATTTAAGAAACTTGACGGGCCACGATACCAGAAGTAATGTTTCAAATACGAGTTGCTGTATTCTATTGGGATTTCAAAATCCGAGTGGAATTTCAAATGCCAAGGCGTAGCCATCTTATACTCTTTTTGTTATGTTTGTTTTTATTTCAAAGTCCGAGTAGTAGGACTTTGAAATATTCCAAAGTACTAGAACTTTGAAATGGGTGCGGTCGTATTTGATGGGGGTTTCAAACTACTGCACGTGGTACAAATAAGAAACCCTGGTTGGTCAATGAGCTTATGAATAATTAATGAGTATAAGATCATGAGCTTTATAATGAGAATCATTATACATATGTATTAGATTTTTCAATAAAAATTTATCAAATCGATTATTTTCATCTTTATTATAAAACTGTCTATCAATTTTAGTGAATTTGCGTTTTTCAGTTTTGTGACCCGTCAAGTTGGATGCGCACGCAACCTTGGGAAAACGGTCTATTAGTGAGTAATAGTCAAAGCATAACAAAATAAAACAATAGAATTAGCGCCTACTACTATGTATTAAGCTCAATTTTTTTTCACGGGTTAAATAAAATCCCTCTAATTAAAAAAAAAAAAAACAAAAAACAAAACACAATCATACCTCTTTTGAACTGTTGACGGTGGTCGTCGTGTGAGTAGAAAGAGACATGATTTCAACACCAATTACAAAACAGGGAGTGCTTTTAGTGTTGCACCCAGAGCACTGAAGTGGAACGTACAGGTGGTTCTCAGAGGGCACATATAGCGCATTTAGTAAATCTGGCGAAAAAACAATACAAAACGATATACAACTATTACGTAGCCAAAGATAGGTGAAGGGAGATAAGCGGAGAATTCCAAGATCCAAGAAAATCTGGAATGTTTAAGGAGGCGGCATGGTCGTGTGGTCATAGCGTCGGTCTCGCAACCCGGTGGTGCTGAGTTCGAGTCCCGCTGTGGTCACTAGCTGAGACTGTATTTGTCCTGATTTCTGATTAGTTCAAATTCAGTTTCTCGGCCATGCTTGTAAATAGCCCACTGGTTTGCCTCCTTGCCAGTTGGGATTTTTAAAAACACTTTAAGTTTCTTATTATTTCTTCATTTCAGTTTCATTTCAGTGTCCCCAATTAGTTGCATAAACTAAATACATCGACACTTAAATAATATGTAATTATTGACTGAGTGGGAGGGCCGTACGGGAAAATATTTGGCCCGAGGTGATGCCGTAAGGACAGGGCGCAGCGAGGTCCGCACAAATGACCGAGAGCCAAATATTTTCCCGCAGAGCCCCACCTAACTCAGTCAGTAACAATAGCATTTTATCATTTTCCCCCCTACCCAGGGTAAAATCCTGGCTAAGCCGCTGTGATAATGATTTTCATGCCCACTGAGAGGTTCCACTTATTAGGTTGGGCTGTAGTGTAGTGTAGATGACCGTTGTATCAGATTAACTTAGACTTACCCTGTTGCGAAGGGACTTGATCTGCATCGGCCATGGCAACGACATTCTCACCAACATCATTCTTGTCCACCGTCCACACTCTTCTGTCCAGTGAACCTTCCCTTTTACGCTTCTTGGTCAGTCGAGTTTTGGGGTTCATCGAAACTAACTTATTGTAGAGGTTCGTCAGATGTTGACTTTGAATAGTTTGTTGCGTGGCGACACCTGACAACAACAACATGGAATCAGTGGTACATGAGTATTTGGTGTATAGGTTGTTTGGTAATAATTTCAAGTGAATTTATTTGTGTTAAGGAGTATGAACACGAGACCTCCTAGGCACCGGTCAGCGGTAGCGTAGCAAGAGGCCCTAGGTTTGAGAGGTAAGCGCGCGCTTTTTTTGCGGGGCGCGCAAGTTCCCGCCAAGTCCAGACGATACTCATATACATAAGCAACAAAAAATGCCCAAGAGACGCGGGGGTGTTTTCTGTTATGCCGACCTAGAACACAAAAATATTTCTCAAAAATTTCGACTTCTTTTAAAAAACGATAAAAATGGAAACCTGAATTTTAGGGAAGAAACGTTGACTCCCCTCAGACGAACTACAATGGAACTTGTTATGGTGAGCGGTGTTTTGAATAAAGTCCCCTGGAGGATGAAAAAAAAGGCCCAAAATTGAGTGGTAAAAAGAATTGGATCAAGAATTACCTTGAAATATTTGAGCGTTACAGCGTTTACAACAAAGACTCGTAGTAGGAATAGAATCCTCTTTGACATCGCTTCTGTTATCTATGCTTCTGGTTGTCTTGGCCCCCTTTCTTTGAGCAGCTCGTCTTAAATTTCTTCTCACAGGTTTAATTTCATCAGGAATGTCTGATTTGAGAGTCATCTCGTTTTCTTGCACTTTGATATTTGTATCCCCGATAGCAGAGTTCCGACTAGTGTTTTTTAGACTCCCGGACGAGGGGTTCAAACCAACTCGCATCTTTTTTCGAGTTGTGGAAGTTTCATTTTCAAAGTCCGAGTTTTCTTCTGAAACTTCTTTATTGGCATCTTCAATCTCCTTCCTACAAGCCGCACGAGATTGGACTTCTTCAACAGTGCCAGGCTTGGTCAACCCCAAACCAAATGGATTTCCAGAGGAACACCCGGAATTATTCATTTGTGGGATTGACTCACCATTTTGTAGTGCTTGTAATTCATCACCTGGTCCCTCGCGGACAGGCGCATCCGCTGTATCAGCGGTCGCAGTTATTGAGCCATGCTCCTTATCCTCGGCAGTTTGGGATTCCAACTGTTCTGCTTCGGGTGATGGGGTAGCAAACATGTCAGGAGATTCTGGGAATTCGAAATCACGCATTTCTACGTCGTTCTTGTCTTCTTTTATAACATTACTATTATTTTTGGCAATATTTTTCGTTTTAGATTGGTGCGGAATGTACGGTAATTCCAATGATTTTACATCTTGCATGTTTAAAGGCTGCTTAGAACGTTCTACTTCCTCCTCATCACAAGTACTTTCTAGAGTCGATTGGTTCCTATCAACAAACCCTTCGCTGTTTTCTTCTATATTATCATTACTCTCTCCAGAGGACCTGCTAACACTACAAGTATCGTCAGTCGCATCAGTTTGCCCTGAGATGTTTCTTTCTTCTTCACGCTTTTCACTGGGGTTCGCATATTCCTTTACCACAGCCACAGCTCGTGTACTATGATCTGCATTGACGGAGCACGCCGGTCTAGGTGCGTCTTTAGCAGGACTTTTGACTACATTTCCCTGTATTACGGATTCTTTAACTTGAGATACAGCGGCTGGCGGATTTTGTGTCGCAGGAGTCGGTGGACCATTTTTATTTGGCGTAAAAGCGATCGTTTTAGGTGTAGTGTAAACAAACCTAGGCGGTTGTCCTTGGTTATTTAACTGTACTGGAGTTAGGAATAGCACCTGCTGGACCCGGCTACCGGGCGCGGTCGGTCTCGGTACTATAGAACTATTGACATGAATGGTTGGAATTGCATTAGCAGGTGTCCCTAGGGCATTTTTAGGGATGAAGATTAACCGCGGAGTTACTGCTTGAGGATTGATATTGTTCACTACTGGTGCACTCTGCTGAGGCACGACTATCCCTTGCTGTGAGTTGACATTAAGGACTTGATTGACAGCGGTAATGATTCCTGTAGGATTAACGCCGAATGCAGTTCGAGGTGGCCCGTTGACACCACTTGGATTGGCTTGTCCCACAAGATTGGGATAGCTGACAGGAATGGCGTTATTTACTAATGGGAGGCTATGCTTCTTACCATCTTGCTGAGTGTGAACCAACATTCGATCTACAGGGGCCATTAGTTTGGTTTGATCTAGAGATTTAGAGTGACTGATAGGAGTAGATATGAACTGTTTGCTGTGGTCACCAGAAGACTCTAGTATATCATCAACAGACTGGTTGACCACTTGACTCGGTGCGTTGGAGCTCTGTAGATTACCTTGCTCTGAAAGCCTGGAGTAAATGTTAGGAACAGAAGAATCTGTCGCATTGAAATCATTCCTGGGAACTAATGGTGTGGAGACACAGGGCGTACCGGGTTCCTCTCTATTTGGACTAGTATCCGAGAGGAAGCTACCATCTGCAGTACTAGACAAGCTTTTCCTTGGTGTTACCTTTGGTGTCTGGGTAGCGGGACAGGGAACCAATTGACGAGCATCAGCAAAGTCCTTAAGAGAGCCAATAGCTTGGTTGAAATTCTTGTAATGTTGAATTCTCTGACGCACCCACTTTGATATACCTAGAAAATTTCGTAGAAAATAAGAATGCCTTTGCTGTAAAAGAGTTGGTGGTGAAGTGCATGGGCGAATAGATGGATAAATGGGAAGATGAACAGATAGGTTTGAGGAAAGTGATGGATTTCACCAGACGTCATTCATACACCCGAGGCTTTTGCTAGTCTTTTCATTTCGTCTTGCGGCTACAGGTGGTTAATGTAAAATGTTGATCAGCCAAACTGCAAGTTTTCACCGCACATGGTGGTCAGTGTTCAACAACTGAGCAGATAATGAGATTCAAAGACTTTAATCAGGTGATTGAAATCCAGCAATCGAGCGAATAAGTCTAACTAGCCATTTTTAAATACAGTTTTAAAACGAGGGCATAGAATAGACACCTTGCAGCACTTTGAAATGCAGCTCAATCTGGGGGGCAAAACAATAGGTTCCCGAATCTCAGGAGATTGGAATTCTTTTGTTTTGTCCCTCTGATCGAGATGCTTTGACGTCACATGCAAGGGATCCATATATCTAACGTAGATCGAAAATAGCATAAATCGATTAACAACTAAATAGCGTAATAACTTACTGTTAGAATATCTTGGCATTTTACTAAACCTTTCATCAACCAAAAGAATGGCTCCCCAATCTTGTCTAAAAAAATTAAAAAAGATGATGATGATGATGATAATAATAGAAATCGTATTGGTCAGGCATCTGCAGGTGACTTACTTGTGTCGTATACATCTTCCTAATGCCTACGAAAAAGGAAGCAAGAAAGAAATGGTCAGAAATCAAATCCATACGAGTACTTTATATCAACCTGAGTTATAAACTTTTATGTATGCGCCATGTAACCCATCTTGTGGCAGTTTCGTTGGGACGAGCACAACAAATAGCTATTATTCCTGAGCAGCTGCATTCGCAGTCGAAAGTTCTTTAAGTCATGCAAGTGAGGCTAGTGGGTCAATAGAAAGCAAAAATGACCCAAACCACTGTCAGACATTGTGAGCAAATATAAACACTGTGACTTGTTACCTGATTGAGTGCTCTGAAGGCTTGGATTTCGTACCATTCACTACCATTCAGCAGGCCTCTCTTTGATGTGTGCTCGTCGTTGTATTTACGCTTGAGATCCACCTAAGATAACAAACAAAAATCGATTAGTTGGGTACCGTGAAGAACTGGTCGCATAAATGTGAAAACAGACGTTTTTATAAATGCTGCAATATCTACCTTGAGATCCTTCGTGTTTGGAAATGGTATTCCAACCTGAAAAGACAGAACCATAAATACGGTCACGATACGAAACGCGTGAAGAGCGTGGGCATAATGGAAAGCAGATAGCATGAGAGTGAAGCGTATGGTACAGACTAAAAGATGGACACGGTAAGACATGCTGTAGAATACAGCGGTTTTCGTAAGAGTGGGAAAAGTAGCTCACCTTAGGCGTATTTTGCACTATGTGTTTGGATGAATCATTGGAAGACAATGGGAAGCCATTTCGATGCTACGACATGTCGCACCGTGTACGTGCTGTAAGTCAGAACCCTACGTTTTCCACTCTTACAAAAACCGATCTAGTTATTGTATGAATTAGAATCGTACGGCTATACAACTACCGTATAGTTTCTCCGAAATAAACGAACACCGCCACTCAAAGTTCAGTATACTTACAGTGATAACAGCTCTAGCATTATTATCTGCAAAATCCAAGCCTTCGCTGACTTTTCCTCTACACACAGCAAGAAACAAAGCACCTCCTGTATTAACACAGTAATCTTCGTCATCTGAATCTAGAATAAAAAACGTACAATACCGACTCAACAAACGCTAATCAAAATAGAGGGCAAACTTGTTTGTGCTGCCTCAAGGTAAAAGACAATATAGGGCTTTCTCGGCAACCATATTGTGTGGGAAAACGATAGACTGAAGACGAGGGCAACCCAAAAGAAATAATACTCAATGGGATGGCGTGAAATAGCTATATCTGTTGTAACATTCCAATTTCGCAAGTCAACAAAACCTCATTTCACTGGCAGGTTTATCAACGATCAAATAACAAGAGTTGAGTTGAAGATAAATGACTTACCAACACCTTCATCATCTTCGCCTTCACTACGTCTGATGGCTTGGTAGAATTCATGCATTACGTCATCAAAATCTAAGAAAAAAATAATCATTTTAACAAAACACAGGCTACACAGATTCCCATGTGTTGCGGGTCAAATGTTGCTCATATTACCACCCTGCGCACAGTGAATTCTCATTGTCACACGAAGTAAAAGTTCTCTCTACTCTTTGCAACATAAACCGTGGTACACAGACAGCAGAACAAAATTCAATGCTCTCGTTACCCTTTGCACGCTGAGTGATAATGTGAGCAAAGTTCGTTCAATAGAATGACATGCACCAACCTGTTTTGTCTCCACCTCGAGGCTCTGACAAAACGAGCTTTTTCTGCAGCAGTTTGGACCAAAGACCTGTAGACTAGAAAATATAATATTACGTAATTGTATTTAGTGAGCCAAATTGGAAACCAGCTCTATTTATGTATATGCGCTATTTGTTACACCCACTCTTAATAAATACTCATTATTATTATTATAGCATAAACACCATTTACTTAGGGTCATACCTGCCATCTTCGGCTAACTTTATCCATCATGTTATAAGATGGAAAGAAACACAGTACTCCGTGTGGGATTTTCTGTAACAACAAAAAGAAATCAGAAAAACATTGCCATAGAATGTGGGACTGGATTGTCTGTGTATCACTTTTCTTAAATTTTGAAATCTCTTCCATGTATGTTGAAATGAGCCTCAAACTAATTCCAAATACCACAGAACTTAAAATAGGTGAACTTGAATCTTACTGATCGAACGTAAATCCAGCTGAAGCCTTAAAAGCCAAGGGTCACAATAAAACGATCGATTCTATCAAGAAGATTTCTATCATGTTTTCCAACCACCTCATGAGCCCGGGGGGGGGGGGGTACTCTCCTATATTCTCAATACGGGTACGTGCCGCCAAACAGGGTTTTCAGCGATTTTATTCTGGAACAGGGTATATAAAATCGCGCTTGCTCTTGGACATTGGACAAGGTATATGAAATCACACTCTCTCCTCTCTGGAACAGGGTTTCTATTTTCACAATACAGGAACTGGGTATGGTTTTCTGAGATCTTGCTCTGGCACAGGTTATGAATTTCAGCGATTTTACTCTGGAACAGGGTCAGGGTTCAGAGGGCTCAGCGGCACATCCCTACCCTAAACTGGCAAGAGTACCCCCTCCGGGCATGAGAGGCTACCTACTACCACTATTGACTTAAGATTTGTCAAAAAATTTTGAATTCCTTACCTCACAAACCTCTAGCAGAAGATTCCCAATGTCATCTTGAAAACTAAAAGTCTAAACCAGTAAAGAATATCATATGCATCGAATCGTTTGATCAGCTCAGGAAAATTATGCATTTACATACCTCTGAGAAACGATAGGAAGCATTAATAGGCGAGTTACTAGGACCTACAGCAAGAGTACCAACCCAGACCTGTGAAGGGAATACAAATAGGTAGCATAAGAAGAGAAATGAAATGGAAATAAGGAAAGGAAAAGAAAAGAAAAAAGAAAAGAAAAGAAAAGAAAAAAAAAAGGAAAAGAAAAAAACGGAAAGAAAAGAAAATGGGAACCAGTTGCTTATACAAACCTGTGAGTTGGCAATGACATGATTAGCCTCTAGTTTAATGGGAAAAGGAACACCAAGCTCTGAAGCAAAGGAACTCATGGGAGAGAGTGTCCCAGATGTAAGAATAATAGAACGAGCCTGACTGCCAATGAATGAGAAAACCTTGGAAAAAAGGAGTAAAATTTTGAGCACACTGACTTTAAAAACCAAGTTAAATAATTAGTGATATTGGAAGTACGACAGGGTCTCATCATCATCACTATTAAAATCATCATTAACATGATAAAGTTTTTATCATCAGCACCAAAAAATCATTATCAAGTTAACATCAGACATTATTTGGTCATCATCACAATCATTATCATCATCATTATCATCAGTGATATGATCAAGTTGTGATCTTCAACAAGAATAATCATTTATAATTATCTTCATCAACCATTTTTTTAGTGTCATAATCATTCATCATTTAACAATTATTCGCCGAAGGCTCAGTGATTATCGGGGAACATTTACCGAGATGCAAGTCTTCAAGCGGCGAGGTAAATATTTCCCAATAATCACTGAGCCTGAGGCAAATAATTGTTTTAGTATAAATACACAGGTGATTCTTTCAAAAAAAGAAAAAAAAGAAGATAAAAGGCATTTTTTTCCGGTAACAGCAACAAAGCGGCTGGCCGCCATTTTGGATTTTTGCTCAAGGTGATTATCGTGTGATAGTGTGAGTTTCTAGACCAATCAGCGCGCTAGATTTYCTATAATCACCTGCATATTTTTACTAATTTATAATATTACATACCACAGCAGGGTTGAAGCACCAGAAATTAAGGGAATATGTCCACTCCTTCTTGGTACCTTTTCCAGGAAGAGGATGGGAAAACAATATTAATCAAAGGAAATACAGGCTGATGATGCACCAAAGAAATACTTATTCCAGGGTAAACAACATTTACTTACCATATCCTGCTCTTTTCCACATACCAGGCTGTTAATAGGATACCAAATAAATGAGTTTATATCTCAAGATGAAAAAATGAGAATTTCTCATTTTCCTTTTATTTATTTCACACCTTGCATTTCACAAACATTCCACACAAAACAGTCCCTGGCATAGGCCACTTCATAGGCATACTTCATTTACTAAAGAGACTATTGTTATGTTCAATCTCTGGTAGGCAAATGAATGACAAAGGTTCATGTCAAGTGAAGTATCACCATGTTTCACGTTACATTTTCAAATAAAGAAAGTCAAAATTGTTTCCCTCTATGTGGGATTTGATCTCCAATGTTTCTTTCATAAATCAGACACCCCTTTAAGACACTGCTGACCCTGATTTCATTAATGTAATATCTTCTTACCAGTTTTTCACCTCGTACCACAACTGCTGTCTTCTGAATGGTTACCCTGTGCAAGTAACAAATACATGACAAATATTAGAGCCTCCTTAAAGATTAAATTTGCCAAATTAGATTGTGTCTAGTATTAAAAAAAGATATCCATACTGCCACTCCCTGAGGGGGTTGATTGATTGACATGGATTGACATTGATGCAAGTTTAATAATAATAATTTTTTTAATTTATACTCGGATTTTAGAGTAGCACAGACTGCTAATATCTCCAAGTCCACTCACACATACTACCACAACGTTTAAATATCTTATACACATAACTCTCAACTAACATTTTGGTTATGGGAGGGATGAAAACCAGAGAACCTGGAGAAAAACCCCTGTGGCAAGCTAGAAAACAGTACATCAAACGAATTCAATTTGTTTGTTTATAATATTTATGTTCTCAAAGATATTGGACATTTTGAATTACCTGGTAAATAATGTTTATGTATGTAAAAGCTGTATTTTGAACAAGAACAAAAAAATCCACACAACATACCTATAATCTGACAGGTATTTGCCGTCATGTCCAAATATGTATCCCAAAACTAAGAACAGTCCTTCTAGAATCATTATACTATGGGGGGAAGGACTGGTTTTCTCATATTGCCTGAATACATAAATGAATAAATGAAATAAATTAACTTTGTTTATAGAGGATAACACTTGACAGTAATTTTAACTGTTAAACAAACTTGTGGTCCTCTTTTAACATCTCTAGTTGATTAGGGGTGGGACCGCCACTAACTTGATTATCTGAGCCACATGAAGATCTAGCCATTTGGAGATGTTACCACAAAGGCAGCACCTTCTATTCAGTTATTTTAGGGCCCTGAGTGTTGGTCCGGCTGAGGCTTGAACAACAACCTCCGGCACAACAGACGGACACGCTTGCCAACTGAGCTAACTGGGTGGCGGAATGAATAGATGGATAAATGGATAGTTGAATGGATTAATGAATAGATGGATGGTTGGATGAAAGGATAGATGGGTAGATGAATGCATAAATAAATGGATGAATAAATGGATGAATGAACAACTGGATAGAAGAATGAATATTGGTAGTTGAATGGATAATTGAGATAAATAGTCGAATGGATGGGTGAATGGATCGGTGGGTAGGTGGATGGATAGGTGGGTGGGTGGTGGGTAGATGAATGAATAGATGGGTGAGTGGATAAATGGATGGGTGGATGATTGGCTGGATGAATGGATGGATGGGTGGATGAATGGATGGATGGGTGGATGAATGGATGGAACACACCATTAACTAATGATCTTTTACACTCATCAAAGTTGGTATTGAAAAAGACTTACATATCAGGATCTCTATCTGCAGCCATTATCTCGCCAAAAAGATTCTGGAAACAATAATTACATATTGATTATCAGCAAGCCTTATGCCATTTGTCCCTGGCTGGACCAATCTGCAGGGTCTTACCACTGTTTTCATTGCTACGCACTGATGGAGACAACAGTCGTGACATAGGAATCAGGCATTAGACTGCCGTCAGTCAAATAAATTGTTCCATGTACCTAGTTTTCTTGGTTCACAGATCCCTTTACCTACTCTCACCATTTATTTAATTGACTGTGTACAGCCTATAGCCCAATTTCTATGTCATGACTCTTGTCTTGATCAGCCTATAGCAATGAACACCATGGTAAGTAAGCTAAAATGGTAAGGTATAACTATAAAGTAAAAATAAAAAGTATTTAGAAACCTGATACATTGTGTAAGCACCAGCTGTCATCCCTGCTTCTCTTAGTCCCTCAAGTATGTCTGTTCCTGACATCACACTGACAGCCTGTTCAAAACCTCTGTCCTTCATTCGTCCCTCAGAATTCTTGGTCATCCATCGCATTAAGTTACCACACTGTCAAGAAATATTTATAAAAATTGTTTAGGAAAACAAACACAAGGAATACAGCTTTTAAAATTCTTACAGAATGGAAAATGGAATACAGCTTTTAAAATGCAGACTTACCATTAGATGTAGTGGTTGGTAATTGTTTGGCATTATTCTCCAGGATACTGCAGATGAAATTAAAATAAACATGTAAGGTCCAGTGGTTATTATTTATTTCAGGGAAGCATGGATGGCATAGTGGCAAGAATGAGTGCCTCTCACCAATACAGTGGAGGAGTTACTGGGGTCGACAGACAGCAGGCTAGAAGGACAACAATCAATAGAAGAGACTTGAAGCGTTTATTGGAACATCGATTTCCAAAGCAAATGTGCCTCAAGGCTGATCTCAGGCCATGAGGGAAACTATGATGATGATGAGATTGGGATAAACTCTAACATTTGACTCCAAGAAAAGTCTATGTAAAGTCCACCCACACCCTTTGGACTGGAGGCATAACTTCAACCAATCCCCCTTGATGTGAAACAAACCATAACCTTTGTGTAATACAATCTTCAATAAAGATTTAAGCAAATTTTTTTTGAGCAGCCACTTAAAATGTTAGCAAAGTCACAGCTGCTAAGAAGAGCCGTCAAGATTGGCCAAAACAATTAATAGTTTTTATTGTCGACTCCTGTTGTTTTGTTGATAGATGCAATTAGGGCAGATCTTCTTAGAGCTGCAACCTTGCCCTAAAATGTCTCTGCTTCCATATAACTTTACTGTGACAATAACAATGAAATGGCCTTTTACTTACTCATTTTATCTATGTCATCCATTGTTTCCTTTAAATCCATTGCAGTTATAGTGAGGCTGGCTGATTCCCTTGCAGAATCCTCTACATTATGAGCTTCATCTAAGACAACTATCTGGTCCTTTAACTCTATTTCCATCTGATTGATCATGTCCAAGAGATAGAGACATAAATTCAATGAACATAATAGAATAACTTACTGTACTGCCAGGGTTCATTCAGATTCCCTTATAAATTTGATTTGCAGGATTAATCCTTTGTGTTTAATCGTCATCATCATCAAAACTCTCACTCATCATGTCAGTAAGTGCATGTGACCTTTCAATTTGCAAGATCAATCCCTTGTTTTTAATGATAACTGAAATTAATTTTTGTATAGAGGAAGTAGCCATATCTGATTCCTATTCTCATACTATCTAGGATTTCTGCTATATAGAGACATGATTAGGCTAAACAAAAAAATAAGTGTGTTTCCTGTTGCATAAGAAAAATAATTGGTGTTGGTAGGTTGGATTTTTTAACTGATACAACAGTGGAAATGAGCTTACTGGGAATCCTGTGGTGCATTTGGGAATGAAAAAATATTAGGGTCGGCAAAAATTAGCAAGAAAATTAGAGTTGGTCGAGCAACAGAAACACACTTATTTTTTTGTTTGGCCTTATCAAATGAAGATATGATACCTGCTGTCTTATCTTAGGGTCTATAAGGTAGTTATAGGGGCAGAATACAATATCTGCTTCTTTCATTAACTCTCTTGCAGCATAGTATGGACAGGCCTATCAAAAGAAAATCAATCAGTCAGTCAGTCAATCAATCGACCTTATGGTTCATGGTTCTCTTTGTTTTGCTACCCTGCTCTACGATTATACGATATAACCCTGCTAATAATCTTATTTAAAAACACATACCCTTAGTTTCTTCCCAACTCTGGTCAAGTCTTCAATGTCCCATGCACTTGTTAGTCCCAGACGTTTGATGTTTGCTTGGTTACCAAGTGTGGTGGCTTTAGGATAGTAGGAACATGTCTCCCCCTGATCAACATACAATCCATTATTAGTACTAACAAATATAAGGACCCTCAAAAATCTAAATAAATGATTTTAAACATTTTACACACCTTAACAGCATTATCAAGAAGCTTCCTGCACTCTTCATTCTTGTTCCTTCCAGTAGACACTCTGGGATGAATGCATGTGTGTTCTCGGCTAGCCAGAATACACATCTTTATATCTTTGTAAGCTGTCTTGCCAAGTTCACGGGTAATCTGAGCTACTTGCTTGTGTGTCCTTGTGCCAAAGTATATTTTAGGAACTCTGTAAAGATACAATAAACACAAGCTTTACTATTTAGAATAATTTAGGCAACATGGGTGGTTTATGCTGTTTTTCAACAGTGTGTTCAAAGGTTCCAAGTCATGGACCTTCCATCATGCAAGTAGAGTTCAGGTACAGATACAGGATTTTGAAAAGGAGGGAAACTGTTACAGAATACCTTCCACCAATACCACAGAATACCCATAAAAGGCAGTAAGATCTCAAATTGACAGAAATCAAATTTGAGATCTTGAAGTAAACTGAGTAAAGTTTTCCTTTTGTTGCTGAAAAGGGTAACTAGACACCTCCACTTACCACCCCTGCATACCCCTGGAGTTTTACAAAAAACCCAAATTCCAAAACCTATTTTGATCTGGCAATCTGGCATCTAGAGCTTAAACCAAAGACTCTGGTGTGCTCTCCAATGAAAAACTATGTAGGTTTTTTTTGTTTTTTTGTTTTTTGTTTTGAGATTCTACTTTCTTTGACAGACTCTTTCACTCGGTTTATTTTACTACTTCTTTGTAGACTCAATGTGTCCTATACCTGATTTGTTCTACATTTTTCTTATTCTTCTTATTATCACTTTCCCCAGAAGATTTCGTCTCATTGCTTGAGCAAGGACTTTCCTTGTTTGGAAGCTCAATCTTCCATTCTGGTGGATCATTCTTTGTGGCATTATTATAATCTGCATTGTAACTTCTACTGTCTTCAATTTCTGATTTAAGATACTAATAAAAAGTAAAGAGTCAGATTGGGGTCTACCCAGTAATAGTAAGATTGGATTAGAAGTGAGGTTACATCTTGGTTTGGGTGGAAGTTTGAGAGTTTGGTTACCAAGTAGACGTAATATTGGGTTAGAAATGGAGCTAAATCTCGGTTTGGGTGTAAGCATAAGAGTTTGGGTACCTTTTTGGGGGAACATTGGGTTACATGTAGAAATGGGGTTACAATTGCTTTGAGTGGAAGTGCAAGAGTTTGACTACCTTGCTGGAGTAACATTAATCTAAAAATGGGCTTATATTTGGTTTGGGTGGAAGTATGAGTGTTTGGGTACTTCATAGGGGTAAGATTGGGTTAGAAATGGGTTTGCAAGAGGGTATTAAACCATGGTTTGAGTATAGTGCCATTTTCACTAAAAAATCAAAGTTAAAGTAATGTACCTTTGAAACAACTGTTGTTGTTCCTGGTGTTCTGAAGCGTTTATTTTCACATTTGAAGTCATCTTCTTCATCACAGTTTAGTTTCTGTTCAGCTGTTGCCACTTTTGAATTTAGAACAAAGACAATATTTCAAAAACGAAGCCTCTTAGGGATAATAATTTTTTTGCTGGGGGAAGGGTATTAATTTGTTTTGGTGAGGAGGATGTCAAATATAAAAGTAACTATAAAATACCTTTTACTCTAAAAGAATAATTTATTTATATAAATGTAACCTACCCAATGTTTTGACTCTACTAGTCTTACAAGTATATATAATCAACCATTTCTGATAACAAAATGTGCTAAAGGATGAAATAATCCTAACATGATTCATACCTTTCAATGGAGTGGAGTCTTCAATCGGTAGCCGAGGAAGGTTTTTGATAGGACTATTGATAGTCAGATCAACAACTTGGATCTTTTCTGGTTTAATCGTAGGTGACGCTGATTTATTATCACTATGGCAACAACCTGTTGCTGTAGAAACTTGGGTCTTTTCTGGTTTAATCGTAGGTGGTGCTGAATTATTATCACTATGACAACAACCTGGTGCTGTAGATAATAAAACACAAGCAATTTTGAAATATATACTAACATTGAACTATAAACACTGCAAAAAATTGCAATAACTTGGAGTTATAGTCAAAGATGTATTATAGTATCTGTAGTATCTTTGACCATCCCCAAGTTTAGGAGTTAGGAGGGCAGATCTAGGCAAGATAGCTACTAGTGATCTATGTCTGACAGACCACTAGTAGCTAATAGTGCCAGTTTTCAAAACCAAAACAATGGCAGTTAACTCAAGTTTTCAACCTAATTCAAAATCGCTTGTATCTGATTAGTACATGTAGGTTTAGACTAAAACAATTAGACCTCCTGACCTCATGGCCTATGAGTCAATAGCCTCATAGACCATTCATTCTTTGGGTGTAATTGTTAGAAGACTACTGGACTACCATCTACATGTATCAAGTAAATTATAAGATAAGACTATGTCAAGGAACTACACTCTTACCAGGACTTGCTTTGCATACTGCTTCTTCTTCCCTCTGTGTCTTTGCTTTTTCTAAAAAAACAATGTTAAATTTCTGGTAATAAACCTTGGTATTAAAATATGGGAATTACAAGTATCTTTTATCAAATTGGAGAGTATATTCAGAACTTACCATATTGAAATGTCTGCCATGCAAGGCAAGAACACAACAGAGCCAGACTTTTACCACTTCCAGTAGGGCTTTCAAGCAGGCAGTGTTGCTTACGATCAAGACCCTTCATAATCTACAACAAAATCAAGGACTAAATTTATGTCTGCTTTGCCACAAAATTTTGTGTTGGTTCAAGTTTTGTTTAAGTTTAAAAAACTAGTGCTATGACTGGGTAGTCCAGGAATACAGATGAACAATTTATTTGTAGGCTGTGGTGAAATCTGCACTGATTTAAGTTTATATTAGGCTATGACAACTGAATGATTATTGGTTCACAATAGCTGGCAGATCTGGCACTCCTTTAATTACCAAAGCATGTTGCAAATCATATATTAAGTTTTCTTGATTGTTCTTTCAATTTTTACCTGCAGTACATCTAACGAAAACGAAACTTATGTTCATCATTAGGTTTTCTTACGAGTGGAAGTTCGACATTTGACCTTAGTCTAAACCTCTTACTTTTTGCCTTGTGTAGTTCCAGAAAATCTCCATACCCCACCCACTGAGGATTTTGGAAATTTTGGAGGGGAGGGGGGACAGAAAAAGAACAAAATTATGGAATTTGTATAGAAGAAAATTTGAAGTTCCTGGGGGTAGGGGGGTCCTTTTACAAATTCCCCCTCGTGGTAGAGGTATGGATATTCTCTGGAACCACACAATTTGTGAAAAATGTGTGTAAAAGCTTTAGTTCAAATTATTTACGTGTGAAAAACTTGTCAAATGTGTTGAAACATGGCAGGGATTAATTTTCAAAAGGGTAGTAAAATTTGGATTTATGGTAAAAGTTGGCCAAATTTTCCCCAAGTTAATATTAATACTCTATCAGGGGAGGTACCCACACTACCACTCACCTCATGGTCTCTACTCAAACGAGTAAAACTAAATAAAAAAAAAAGCGAATACAGTTCTGATCCTTAATGCTACGTGTAAAATAATATACTTATTTTTCAGGAGCTGAAAGGAGGGACAAATTATAAAGATAGAAATTTTTGCCTCGTGAGACTGTGCATGTGAAATATGATCCCCTTTGAAGTGAAAATACTGTATTTTCACTCACCTTGTCCATCATACATAGTTGTGTTGGGTACGCTTTACAGGGAAAAAACAACTTAGTCCCATGAATTGTGTATGATACTCCCTCTGCCATGGCTTGTTTTCTCTTATTTCGATGAAATTGTTTAAGGTAAGACAACTTTGACGAAGTTCTTGCTCGACATGAATCGTGCGAGCAAATTCTGCGCGACGGAGAACATTGATTTAGACCCCTTTAGACCGAAATTCCTAAAAAGTCACAGCACCAACGAATATTGAACGAGATAATGTGTATTCTTGTTAGTTTTGTGGTCCATTAGAGGGACAAATCCGTTGAAAAACAGCAGTTTTCTGGAGATTCATGACGATAAAGACGCGGGAAACTTTCAAACGTTCCTTTTACTAGTCGCCGCGCTTGCTTGCGTTTCTGTGGAACCCAGGCCCCTTTCCTTGACAACCGTTCCCGCCTTCACTCGGGCTAACAACCAAATTACTCGGGCTCCTTGATTACAGTTTTGCTCGTAAAAAGTAATCAAAGACAATAATTGATACAAGAGATACATTATTTCCGAATGTAAACAGCATTGTAACTCAGTAATAATATTGCTATAAACTGGTAAACCTTACTACTGGGTCAACAATCAGCTTATAAAAGCCTTTGAATCTCATTATCTGTTCTAAATGGTGGTCAAACCTGACCCACCATAGACTGTGGAATCCTTGAATGGGGGGGCATTGCCTCTCCTGCAAACACACTTGAAAATGGCTGACATACATCCAAGTGAGTTACACAAAAACGCTGCATCCCAGGCCAAATGCAAAGAAATAATATGTTGTCAATGCAAAGTATACACTTATTCTGTCTTTCTTTCCTTCTTACATACAGGAACACAACAATAATTTGTGGCATAAATTATAGGAAGACTGTAAATTTGGCCCAGGATGCCTTGTTTTCATCTGGCTTTGCATCATTTTGGAATTAGATGTATTATTTACATATCAAATTAGAAGTTAGTGTGTTACATTTTGCATAGAGGAAATCCTTGAATCAAACGAGACAACAAATGTAGTGCCAAATCTGGGAGTCAAGTTCGAGACTCAGAGGTGAGTACTCTACTGCAATGCCATACTTTTTCCCCAAAACAGTCAGTAAACCAAGTAAAATGAACACAAATATTGCTTACAATACAAGTTTATTATTCTAAACCAAATCAATGAAATGCAACGTAGTACGGATGACAATTGAGAAAGTATTTACAGTTCTGAAAACATTCCAACCTTCAATTGTCTCAGAAAGAAGAAATGTAGATTGAAATAAATATGTTTTGGCTAATGTCAGAGCTCAAAGTCTTCAAAACTACTGTAACAAATCCAGGAATAAAAACAAGAGGCACAGTCTTATTTTAGTGATATTAATATTGCATTTAGAAATAGATATTAGTTTTATAGACATTAGATTGATTTTAGAGCGAAGGCATTTAACCTGTGAAATAAAAACTAGTCAACGTGTAATAGTCAAGAAGAAACAAAAGAAAACAATGGAATTAGGGTCTACTAAAGTGTATTAGTCTAACATCTATTTCACGGGTTTAATGACTTCACTCTACTTGGCAGCAATAAGGTCCAGGAATAAAAAAAACTTCTCTAGTTAGTTAGTTAATAGCTCACAGTCAAAGTAAAACAAAAGAAATCCAATTACAATCTACTACTATTTATTTCACTGGCCAAGTAAAATCACTCTAGGAATCAACACCAATTTTATTGTTTTCTTTTGTTTTTGTTTTTTAATAAAGTTAAATGAAACTACACTAGGAAAAACAAACTAAAGGACAAAAGAATCCAGCAATATATTCTTTTATATTTTCGACCAGAGGATTTGATTTTTTGAAGTCTTTGTCCAACTACTTAGTTTGTTATTCTAAAATAATAAATTATACCTCTTATCCTAATCTTAAACATGGAGGTAAGATATTCTGCAATCAATAGACTATGTTTTGTACTTCGTATTATAGACTGTTTATTTTTAAAAATTAACTCTGAAATTGGAAAAAAATTAACTCTAAAAGCTTTTTATATTACTAATCATTTGAAATCTAAAGAAAAAAACTAATAAAATATCTATAAAGATAATAATAATAACTATAGCAGCTGGTTCAGGAAGGTTCATAAATTCTGACAACTGATATCAACCACTGCAAAAACTTCAAGGACAATTGTATCAAATTCAGATTTTCTGGTTTTAAAGAATATCCATTTGTATGTCATGGAGGAGATTGACATTTCCAAAGGATGGGGAGGATAAGCACTATATCTTCTGGAAAATCATAACGTGTAAGATGGACACCATAGGGCTTAGCATGGAATCCTGTTAGCACAAGTAAACAGTGGCATTCATTTTTCTGGTACATCTTCTTCGTCATTCTTTTCGTCTTTCTTATCATCTTTTTCAGTTTTGGACGAAGTAGAAGGTTCATTAGTATCTTTTTTTTCTTCGACTGTTTCAGTGTCCTTACTTTCTTTTACATTTAAACCTTCTAATTCCTTGGCCAACTTATCGCTTTCTGGCTCTTCTGATTTTGAATCTTTGTTATCTAATGCTTTCTGGCATTCTTCAAACTTGTCCTTAAACTTTTTGGCATCTAATAATAAAAATTTACAAAAAAAGTTGACTTGAATAATTACTTAAATTGCATTAAAAAGAAGTAATTATATTATTGGTTCATATAATTAAAGAAAAATGAGCTTTTCCCATATCAGGATCTGATCTGTCATCTAAATGTCTTGAATCATCTGAAATTTAAACAAACTTTTCGTTGAACTTACTTTCTGCATTTCCAAATTTAATGGCTAAGGTTTCAGATTTGCACTCCTCATCTGCAAACTCAGCAGCTACAGACCATACCCAGGCCTTGTCACTCCCACAGTTTGGTTTTAGCTCCATGTCGGCTGTGACTAAAGGGAAGTAAAATACACTGTGAATTTCCTACTCTTCTATTGTGCTAAGACAGGAAAAAATGGGGGGAAGGAGTGGTAAAAATAAGCTCTCCAGAAAGAAAAAACATGGAGAGACTTCTTGAAACAAGGTCCGGGCTGATTTACCAACCATCTAAGTAATTCATAGACAAAGCTATGAAAGTGCAGGAAAGAGGTGACAAACAACTCTAGTCACATGTTATGGTTATTTCAAGGATTGGGCCCACAACTACAGTTTTGCCATGCAGTGCATTAACTATTCACACCACCCTTGCCACGCACATGATGGGGTAAAGGATGATTTTGGTTTATTCCAAGGCATTGTGTCCCTACCATGAAAAGCTGCTAAACTATTATAGTCTTATATCACATCTGCTCTAAGTTTTCATCACCAAAGGATATATAATTAGGAGTTCTTTGATTGTGCCAAATAGGTCATTACCCAAGATTCCTATGCGCATTTCCTTTTTTTCAATGACAATACCATTACAACTGCTTTCATTGCTACAAGCTGAGTTCATTGCCCAATTTCACTGTTGCTGTTGTACTGATCAGCATGTTGCAATGAAAACAGTGGTAAAGCAGGAATTACATTTAAAACACGGAAAAAAGCGGGAAAAAAAGGGGAAAAGGTACAGGAATCGGACAGAAAGATAGCAGCTCTTATTTGACGGAACTGGAATGGAATTGGGATAAGTAACACATGGCTAATAAAATTATCAGGCTCTTGAAAACCATGAATTTTTTTAAATTTTCTAATGCCTTGTAGTAATAACAATTAATCCCGATTTCCTTTGGATTATTCAAGTGCTTAGCAATATATAATACAATCTACAAGCATGCGTCGATTACTTACTGAGATGATTTGCACAAATTTTGAGAGTCTTGTCCCTTCGCATGAGAATTCTGTACGTATTTTTGTCCGTGTGTTTTAAAATCCTTATGACACCGACTCCTCTTTCTTTCCATTCGCTTTCCTCTCCATTTTTGTCGTATCTATAAAGCTTGGCTCTCCTGTTGAAAAATTATTGAACACGAAAAATCATTAAACACACAACTGATATCTAATTATTGTCAACGACTTCTAAACAAAGAAATAACCACAAAAAACGGTTCAAAACTTACATTTGAAATATCTCTTCCTCATTTTCCTCCAAAGATTTAATTTCGACTTTAGGAAGGCTGACGATGGGCTCGAAATGAATTTCTGGATTTGCCGGTGGTTCGTGTGTCTTTATGGAAAAAAGAAACATAAATGAGCTTAAAACACAAACAAATACCATTATCACTCGATTCTATATGAATTATCTTACCGTTTCGTCACTCATGGTATATAATAAGCCGAAGGATGCAAGTAGATGCTGTTGGATTAACAGTACTAGAATTATTCTTCCTTGATGCCGAATATTATTGTCAGCAAAATTTTCCCGCTACACGAACGGTTGCTTACGAAATGCCAAATGCGCATGACCAAATGATTGATAACTGCACAGAAAACGCAGGCTCAAGATCCTCTCTTTTTTCCCTGTATATTCCTGTACATATATATATTTTTTCGTTATATTTATTATTCCTTTATTTTGCAACGATTTCTTTCACATCATTTTATTACATTCTCAATGAATTATCACCTTGACCACCCAGAAATAGCAAAAAACCTCGATTTGACATTTGTTTTTGAACTCCACGAATGGGTGGAGTCAAGCGAGGGATTAAGGGCATGCTCCATTTTAGCATCATGTCAAATGATGTGAAATCCAATTTTAAAAATTCCTAATGTATCTATTGGCATCTTGGGGTGCATATTTAATATTGTCTCTCATAGATTTTTATTTTTGTAAAACCAATGGGGGCTGTAAATCAAAATAATGGTAGTAATTATTTCAACAAGTCTCTTTAGTTTCTTTCAAGTTTTATTTCGATTCAAGGATTTAGGACATTTATTGAAATAATGACAGCATTACATGGAATATTGGAATATAGTTCAAAAAAGTACTGGTATCCAAGTTTGGGGTTTGGGATATTCTTAAACTTGTTTGATGGAACTTTGAGTGGGAAGTGTATGCTGGCCATGTTACAATCAGTAGTAAATATTATAGCTTTCAACGAATGGTTTTTCACCAGAAAAACACTTTTCCAACAATTGACCTTGAAGAATAGATGACAGTTTTAAAGGGAATAAGAAATAGCTGGGCCTTTTCTTGTGTATTCTTTATTTCTTTCTTAAGGAACTAGCTTGATTAAACCCTAGAAATGATCATGGAAAATAGTGTTAGAGTAAGAAAAATGCAGAAACTTCATTGCATAATTGTTAATTATCATAACTTTTAAATATTGTAGTCTTTTGCCCAGCTTGTTCTAGCTTTTTCACTTCCCCTGGCCACCCTCAAAAGCAGTACTTCCAAGGAGAGGGGATGACCTGAACCACATAGGTTAGTGCAAGGAGGTAATGTACAGATAATTAATTGAATGAAGTTTCATATGTACATTTAAGGTAAAAAGTAAGGATTGGTGTAGATGTAGGTCAATAATTTGGTGTACATTATCATCAAAGATAAATATACTAATGACGATACTTACTTCTTTACAATTTGCACTACATCTTCATCAATCAGGACATGATCCTTACCAACTTTTTGAGGGCTGTATTTTACTGACGCTCCCCATACCAGAGCACTAGAAAAAATTAGATTTAGAAGTGGTTACATACCATTACCATACTCTATTTTACAGCCATTCTCAATCACACACACCGCTTTAGCAATAATTGCTTCTGTCCCAACGAAGAAGCTTTTAGTTGACTTCAATCAAGGTGTTTCCATGACATACTATAGGCACATGCCCTTATAGCTCTGTGTTTTCCAACAATGTTATGGAAACGCCATGGTATTGATGTCCACCAAAATCTTCTTCATTGCGACAGAAACAATCGCTATGGGGCGTGTTGATTGAGAATGGCTGTAAGTATCAGATGGATTCAAAGTGAGAAAACAATGATGTTGATGCTACTGATCTTGAAGAAAATGATGATAGGTGATAGTAAGGTTCGCATGTTTGATGACTAAATGATCAAGTGAACAGATTAAGAGATGGTGATGATAACCATGACAATGATAACGATAACCATGATGATACTGTTGTTGGCATCTAAGCATGAACACTTGATGTGAAAACATGTTTTAATTGGTTGCAGAAGGTTTTGACTGCCAAACACAAGTGCTTATGCTTAGATACAGAGCAAAGGTAAAGATGATGGTGTCAATAAAAATGCTGATGATGATGGTGGTGTTGATGATGATGGTGATGATGTCAATGATGGTTGTAGTGACAATGGTACTGTGACAATGATAATGAAATGAAGGTTGACAGTCAATAATTTGCTAAAAATACTGTAACTTACTGCTTAAATTCTTTCATGATACTTTTGTGAAGCTGATTACAGAAGTCTTCCACCGTGTGCCCACCATGTTTCAAAATGACTGGAGATTCATAGTCTGGCAACTGCCCTTTGGGTTTGGTGTATCTAGTAGACAGATTGATAACAGAACCTTTTAATTGTAAATCATAAATTTAAAAGATTGAGTTGAGTTGAGTAGAGTTAAGATGAATTTAATTACTTACATTCTTATGAGACTGAGATAATCCCACATCTTCTCAAGGAGATCATCAAAGTTCCATTTGTGATGGGCAGATATTGGTACAGCATGGGGAATTTTGTAAATTAAATCCAACTCCTACAAAAGTAAAAAAAAAACACAACTAATAAATTTATCACACAAAACAACATTTATTGTGATTTAAAATCTTAAATTCTGGAGAATAATTAAAATATAAAATAAATAATATAAGTCTTATAGAAATAAAATATTGTAATCTTGTTTTACACTGTGCATTATACTATGTCTGGAAAAAGTTTTTATATCATCCGACATCAAAACACAAACTATATTAAAACGATTTTAAGGATTTTCAATACAATCTCAAAGCATCCTTACCTCTATTGATATTTGATCAATCTTGTTGAGCAGATAGACACACGGGACATAAACTCTAAAGAATTAATAATAATAAAGATTGGCCATTCCTTACCGTACCTTTATAAAGTTTTGGGTGCAGTTGAGTGGGTACATGTGGTAGGCTACTATAAGTAAGGAAAAAGGGAGAAGAGTTGCACAAGATGTAGCCGACTGCGACTCTAGCTTCATAAATGCTTAAGCAACCAAAAACTCGATGGAAGCAGAGCTAAAATGTAAAAATATACCCTCTATTCCCAGGAAGGGAATAATCTACAGCAAAAATAGAAGACTAAGGCTTTTATTTTAAAAATCTGATTAAGCTTTAGCTGTTGTATCACAGCGTGGGACCATCACAACAGAGCTAGGCTCCAACTAGGTGGAAAGCCCAAAGATCGAATTAGAATTTAGTAGTTGATTTTTGAGGAGGGAGGAAAACCGGAGCATGCAGAGAAAAACCCTCAAAGCACAGGAGAGAACCAACAAACAACTCTACTCACATGTGACATTGAGATTGGCAGGACTCGAACTCTGGCCGCATAGGTGAAAGGCGGCATATTAGCAGGGCATGCCACCCATGGTTCCTGTTTTGATATATGATGTTGCCTATTACTGTACCTGTTTCCTTCAATGACGTCAATAAGATCATCAGCAGTTGCATCGTATCTCAGGGTTACATCTGCATTGTTGATACGGTATTCCCCAAGAATACTTTTTACCAGATCAATATCAAGTTCACTTTGAATACACTGAAAGTCGATGATATTTTTTCTTAAAAAAGATTTCATCAAATTTGAAAAAATACCAAAAACTGGTTGCCAACACCGCACACACAATTTAACAGTAACTGTGTACTAACTCTTTCAACATTTCATCTTTGCTAGTTCTACTAAGGAACCTTTAATTGAAAATTAAATATAAATAATTAAGGAATATATATTTAACTAATCAACTGGTACATTAACTTACTGTAGTCTGGAGGTTGATTCCACCCTTCTCCTTCTTTTTGAATCCAATATTTGGAGGAGTCTTGTTTAACCTAAGATAATAATATGATTTATAATCAGAAAAAAAAGCAACAAAAACCCTTCAAATTTTATTGATATCCTGAAACAGCCCATGTACTGATCAAAGTCAGGTCATGGCTAACTTATAAGAGGAACCCTGAAACAGCCTCTGGGCTGGTCATAACTCAGGACATGGCTACATGTTCAGTAACATACTCATTGAATTGGAATTTACAGTTATCTTTTGCAGAGCGGGGAAAAGTGAGGAACCTGTAAAAATGTAATTCTTAGCCAACAATTAAACCTGAGACCCCAGAGGTGAGAAGTGAAGGAACTACAATTATTACAGCACACTTGATTCTCACACATTGAAATTTTGGACCTTATCACACAATGTTTTGTACATCTACATCACAGTGAGGATATGCAGCAAATGGTTTTGATTTTCCTTGATGAACAAGCATTATGATTCACACACCTCATACCAAAACCTTCCAATTCTTTTTCGATGATCTTTTTGTCTCCAAGGGGTTTGAGCACATCTAGAACTATGAATATAAGATTGCACGTCCTGGCAACTACAAAGATAAGCATAAAAATAAATATAGTAAAGAACAAGGCCCTGAACTTTTGAAAAAAATAATTTGTGGTCAGTAGCTTACATAAAATTAATTCAGTAGACAATGAACATACCAGCAATAACTTGACGTCCTCGACCTTTACCATCTTTTGCACCTTCAATAATACCAGGCAAATCAAGAAGCTGAACTTTAGCTCCTTTGTATCTAATGACACCTAAATGAATAGTAAAATACCATAATGTTAGATGAACTACTGAGTTCTAGCTTTGGATAACAGACATTACTGTGGCTAACATGTGTTTTAAGGCTACCACAGACTATTAGACATGGCGCTTAATGGCCAAACATGATAACCAGTCAATGTGACCATATCTGATTGATCAATAAGTGAGCAGTCAAGGCAACCAGTCCACATCAGGGGACTGGCCTAAGAGGCCAGATGGGTGCAAATTGTGGCCGGACATTCATTGTCCTTTAACAGCGGTTATTTCTAGCCCTGATGTTTTACATGACTTTGATCACCACATTACCTGGTACAGTTGTCAGTGTTGTGAATTCATAAGCTGCAACTTCTGAATAAACACCTGCCAGATTTGTCAACAGTGTAGACTTTCCAACAGATGGGAAACCTGTGGTAACAAACAATATGGTAAATGACCATCACTGATTTTTTTAGAAAACTGTATAACAAATTTATCTAAAGAATATGTTGATTCCTTGGAAATGAAAAGAAGAAAAGTTCTATTTACCTACCTACAAAACCAATTCTGGCATCTCCAGTCTTTGCGACATCAAATCCTGTTGAAAAATTACTTTGATATTTATCTCCTTGAACAATAAAATCAGCAGTATTTCTTTGGCAAAGAAATGACCTATTTTAAAATTATACTAAAACCAATCAAAGATTTAATACAACCAGCTAAATAATTTTTCCAGTTACGTATACGTATGTACAAATTATTGTGTACTAGTATATCCGGTTTTTCTGACTTAATAGTCTAAGATAGAATGACCCACTACAAACAAAAAATATCCAGTCATATGTCATACTTATTATTCACCTTCTCCAGTAGCTCCACCGCTACTTTTCGGAGTAATGAGTTCTCGTCGAAGTTTAGCAAGTTTGGCTTTTAACAATCCAAGATGGTGACTCGTATTCTTGTTCTTCTGTGTTCGTGCCATCTACGATAAAAACCCAGTACTATGAAAAAAAACGTTTCAGTTGGACTCACAATACTATCAAGATACACACCTCGTTTTCAATATCCGCGATTCTTTCCAAAATCCCCATTTTTACGGCAAGAAAGAGGAAGAAATCTCAGAAATTTGTTCTTCTCTTCTCACGGTTTCACGTGGCCTCGTTTTAGAATTGGAGGAGAACGCTGAGTAAGCAATGCAGGCTCAAACCACAGGTAACCCAATAGATTGGAGAATTTCTGTCACTTTATAAGAGAAGTTTGGTAAAGTTTTTGTCAGCAAGATTTTCTTACAAAAATTATTTCTTAAGGTTAGATTTTAAACCATTTTAAAGGATAAAGACTATTTTTTGAGCTATGAAGATGGTTCATTTGGATTGCTGCTGGTGACCTACTTTTGACCCCAGAGTTAGTGTGTCATTCTTACTGCACGTGCTCGATAAAATGTCAAGTGACTCAAGTGACAAGGAAATTCTTTAATTTTAAAAAGAGCTATGATTTATTCAAATTTTGGGCCTGCACAGTACTTAAAAGGTAGCCACATTTCTGGCTACTGCACACAAAGAAAGCCAAAGTCTCAGACTTTTCTTCAAGCACACCCAGTAAGAATAACAAGGTTCTATGGTTGAGAGTGCTGGTCTCATGTGGTAAGTATTTTAGTCAGAAATAAAACTATGAAAACAAAAGACCTTGGTCTTTAACTTGGCCATAATGTTTTCCCATTTGGGACCACACGCAATTCTCTCAAGAATAATTTTTATTCAAATCTTATCCATATTCATGTTTCTTCTCATGCACTGTGCATTTTAGGGTTGTCAACCATAAAAAAAACAAAAAGAGATACTCTAGGGAATTAGATACGGGGTCTGAAATTGAAAAAACATTAAGCCCTAGCTAAGCTAAAAGGGTCGAATTCGTTATGAAGCATCAAGCAAAATCCCAGCCACAAAATGCAGTAATATCATTTTTATTTTGAGATTAATGTTGAAAAAATGTAAATTGGAAGGTATGGAGTAAATAATTACAGTTATAGCTAGGTTGTATTAATTAAGTAATAAAACATATTAGTACTTATTATAAGCATATATATGACACTACTTTTAAAACTATCTGCCACTTAGCAAAAACTAGTTACTAGTGTGTATGATGAAGCTTTTAGAAAAATAGGTTGATAATTTGGAAAGTGATGAATGAATTAAACATTATTTCAAGAGGGTAACACAGTTATAATTTAAAAAATCATACTGATAATCCAGTGTCCCTCCCTTGATATGAATGCAAATGATATATAATATGTCAATAGCATCTATGAGGCCCAATCATTTTTGCCTGCAGGCCCTATAGCTATATCTTACTCCCTCCCAATGGAAAGATTGAAATTTATGCTGATAATATAGAGAACTGGATAGATCCAATTTGAATTTAGCGTGTTAAGTTTTGCAAAAGGAGTAGTTTAACAAACCTGAAGGAAATTTCCTTGAATCAAGGGATCGGAGATACCAAAAAAAAGCTTACTCATGCAGAGGTGAGAGCACTATGGCTACACCAGTCTCGATTCCCTGATAAGTTTCTGTCTGTATTTTCTTGCCTTCTTAATTTTAATCAGTTCTTTATAAATGAATTTTAATTCTGTAATGCCTGTGGTGCTAACTGAGAAATTGTCGATTATTGCTCGTTAAATAACTAGATCTCTACTACGTCTATGAAGGATTGATAATGTTCTCCTATGCTGGTTGTGATGTATCACTTTCTAATTTTATGTCTACTCTCATGGCAGATCTAACTCTGTTCAGTCTTGCTTTGTTGGCACCTTGGTCATGAAATGGCACAAAAAATAGGATCTAAAACACAGGAAAAATAATTGTGAGGTAAGAACAATATGATACCTTATGGATTTTGTTTTGGCTTTATCATCCTTATATCCAACCTAAATAAACTAAAATAGATACATGAGGTTCTGGTCAAGTTTCATAAATATTTGAATTTGGAATACTCACCATATTAAAAATTAATGCAAGTGGGCAGCATGTGGGAAGAAACCCTGTTGAAAATGATCTTGCCTGAAAATTAAACAGATAACACCTTTATCATCATTTTTACCACAAATTACAAAGCTCCAGAAAATATTTATACCCAGTACTTCCCCATAAGGATCTCCACGTCTGTTTCAACTTCTCTCTAATCCGTGTAGCTTCAGCTTTGAATACTCTTAAAACAGAGCACTGATGGAGAGAGGGGGTAAAGTGCGCGCCGTCGGCTTCCATTGATAGCAGTTGAATTTCAACTGAAGGAACTACCGACATTAAATATAGGTACTTTACTTTTTTTTAATATTTGAAGTTTCAACATCATTGGGCGAAGAAGCGGGAAGTGGACCAATAATTGCAAGTTAAATTAATTTCATTTTTATATGGTTGGAGTGTGAAGATCTGGTTCATTCAAAATAAATTGTGTCCCAAAATAAATTAATATTTTTTAATTAAACAAAATTATATTGCAAAAAAGATTAAAAGACAAAAACCTTTGCAATTGTTCCCTCTTCTCTTCCTGGCTGGAACTGAATTTCTACAACATCAAACCACTCATTAGGGGTAAAGCTAAAAATCCGTACAAAGCTCTTTTCTCTGTTAACCTGAAAAATAAAAATATTTTGAAAACATAAGTCAGAAAAATACTTGATCATTTCAATAAATTATTGATATTATTTTTCCTTTTAGGATATTGAAATTCTTTGAGGCATTATATTGAACCCCTATTGATTATCTTAGTCTTATTATTCTTATAGTGATCGTAAATAATCATTGGTTAAGAATGCAGGCTTGAGGTTATAAATATTAAATATGAAGACAAGATCTGTGACATCTGCCAAAGCCTTTTATAATATGAAGAGACACAGACGGTCTTGATTAAAAAAATGAAAAGAATAAAATAATGCAATAATGTTTTGTTATACATTTCATTAAACTTAGACTGGAGAACATTATCATGTTCTGCCACCATATTTGAAATTAAAGCCAGCTTTGTTTATAACTTGATTTCACGAAGTATATCACCTTTCTTAATTTACAAATAATACATTCTTCATACCATATGTTCTGTGGTGATATTGTGAGTAAAATGTTTAACAATAATATAATTAATTTTCTAAACAATCATTGGATAATCAAAATTATGTAAATTACTTATCTTTTCTTATCAAAATACCCGAGTCTCCTTTTATCACAAATGATTGTATTTATTTAAAAAATAAAAATGCTAATCCTAAAACACTCTCTATTTGTCTACTTTGTAGTGAAGGGGAAAAAGTTGATTTGTAAAATGTTAGATAATATATTCATTAATTAAAAATTCCCTTTGGGAATATAAATTTGAGCTGGTGCTTATACAAGACAGTGTGTACGAAAGATATAATGAAATATGCAATTCTCCTAGTCTCGAAAAAAAAAATACTATGGGTTTTTTTTTTTTTTTTTGCTTTTAAGAAGTCAAAAAATACATTACAGTAAACCAGCTTTCAAATGAAAGCACAGTGGGTTGGCTTAAATAGCTTATCACTCACCTTGTTTACATGCATTTTTTCCTTTTCTCCCAAGTCGTTAACTGCTTCTATCAATTTGTCTACACAAACTTCTACTGTTAAATTTGGGATAATCCATCTGTGTAAAGATAGATGTGTAAAGATATAATATAGTTGACAGATCAGTGTGATTGAACGGTTTCTTAATTTATACAAAAAATAAATAAAAAGCTTTACAATTCTCGAGAAAAATATATAGGAAAGACATATAACATTGCTCATATTAAAGAAATTGTTCTTATAATAAAAAATAATCAAAACAGAACTTCCTATTGAAGAAATAAATGTCTTGAGCGTTGATCACAAGCAATGTTAACTTTGGGAAACCAACTTTGGTATCGACTTGTCTTCAAGGCTTCACTTACGTTTCATTCGAACTGTGGAGCTTCTTTATTCCAGGACACCACATAGCAGGACGAATAATGGCTTGTATGGGTGACTGGCACATACTAAAACAGCAATCAGCCGACGACATCTTGATAAATTTATATGTCGACTAGAAGTCAACGACCAAGCAGGCACGCCCCACTTTAGTGAATACCTTCCAATAATATAGAAATAAAACTTTGTTTTCTAAAAATCTAAGCGATCCGTGGAAACGTTTTACTTGTGAACCATGAGAAAGTCCCCTGAGTCTCGATATACTACGTAATTTGGTATACTAAAGATGTATATTGTGCCTATTGTGTTCTGTTCGAATACAAAACTCAACACAAAACTTTGTCGATAATGACAAGGCATTCCTCGTAGGTATAAGAATGTATGGAGACTGGTATCTAGATAGGCTTTGTATTAATCATTGCTCTTTTTCTATTCTTTATCGGACTTTCTTTCCTTCCTTTTTTAAATTTCTCTTATTTTCCTTACACTTCATTCTTTTCCATTTTGTTTTTCTTTTCTTTTCTTTTTCTTTTCTTCTTTATTTCTTTTTCTATCCCTTCTTTTGTTCCTCTTTTAATAATTTCCTTTTTTCCTCTCACTTTTCCTTTTCCTTTTCATTTGTTTCTTTTAAAGTCCTTTCCGTCCTTCATTTTGATCTTGAGGATTATTTTCCTTGCGAGACAATCAGATGCATAAATTACAAGTGGAAAATAATACTAGCCCTGGTTGCCATGGAAATGGAATCAACCATGCACCCACTACTCGCCATATTGAACTAGCATAACGTAGGTCATTATATCTTTGCGATTGTTGTCAGCTGCCTCGATAGAGGAAGAATCAAGTTTATATACGGCTTCAAGGTGTTAAAGGAAATTCAAGAACTTAGCGTGACGCTATTTCTTTTTTATGAGCTCCAATTAAGGTCGTTAACGACTTTTGACAAAACTAACAACAATGGAAGACGTGTCTCCTCCAAGAACAGCTTCTGGTAGTGATAGATCACGTTCTCTTTCGGCTGCTATGGTCTTTGAAAGAAGTCTGATTGAGAGAGAAGGAACTAAGAGTCCCGTAGTTCGAACCTTTGCTAGAAATATACTTAAGAAATGGCGGGATTCCAAAGAACGAGCCATTAACAAAAGATTACAAGAAGTCAAGTTAGAGAAAAAACGTAGAGAAGCAGAGTCTAAAGAAGTGGCACGATTAATCACAAGGACAGTTCCTTTAGACTTGTTGGCTAACGAATGGATGAACGATAATAATATCACCGCAGATGTCAGGATGTACCTCGTTGAAAAACTTCTACCAACTCTAATTCTTGGTGTAGAAAAACTCTTAAAGGAAGCTTCCAAACGAAATCTTGAAGATTCGGAAGGTTTCTGTCCAGATTTCAATCCAATAAACTATCTTGCTCAATATTTAATGCGGAACAATCCAAAATACTCCAATTTTGTAGAGTCATCTCCTTATGCCAAGGGACTGCATAAAATCACTGCAGATCTGAAAAAAGAAATATATTCTACAGAGGAAAATAAATTGGCAAAGTTAAAGGCTGAAGCCAGAAAGAAGAGAGAAGTAAGGGAAACGGAAGAAAGGAAGAGAGATATAGAAGAAAGACGGAGGGCTTATGCTATAGAGGAGCAGTTCATAGAATGGACGTCAGACTGGAAAGGAATGATTCCATTAGCAGTGGTAAGTTAATATGAGTGATGAGATTTGGGAAGCTTCTCAGAAATTATCCATGATCGGTGTCCCTCAGAGAGACAGGGGAATATACAAGGCACTTGTAGAGTGTCTGTGAACTGCTTTTCCCATTGGAAGTTTATTGCAACATAGGTTCATGTTGGGGGAGGGGAGGGATCTGACACTTTATGGTAGTCAGTTTAATCACCATGATGGTAAACTGATGACTAGTGGTTTCCAGTTGGAACTGCATTGGTGTGCTGAATGTTTAGTTCCAGAAATTATCCATATCTCCCACAGAGGATGTTTTTAAAACCTCCTACCCCCAGAAATTCCAATTTTCTTCCATACAAACTCTGTAATTTTGTTCTTTCATGGACCTCATACACCCTTGGAAATCCCAAATTCTTCTGGGGGGGGGG